AAAAAGAATTTTTGGAAAATTTAAAATCACAAAACTTTTCAAACATCAACAGCATTGAAACATAACTTTTTTTTACACAAGCACCTGATCCCTCCTCTAGTGTTTCCAGGAGTCCGTGTTTTTGCCATGTTTAGGATTTGTTTTGTTAACTGGATTTATGAGATTAATCACTGTTATCTCCACCTTTTGAACCAGTTTGGGTTCCGGGGAAACGCATAGAAAAATGGAGAGCTCCATTAAATTTACTGTCAGTAGTGCTATTTAATTTCGCGATTTCACTTATTAAACTGCTTTTTTCATAATACTCCTTTGCGTTACATATTATGACCAAAATAGGAATTTATCACAACTTCAAAATCAATTTTAAAGCCTAAATTTTCATATCATTAGTTTGCTCCCATTTTCTTATTCTAGTCAATTCATCCGTCTTTAAAAGTGTTAAAATTAGTATCTTTTCTCGATACAAACATCTACATATATGTCCGGAAAATATCCTTGTTGATCTCTCTCTCTCTCTCTGTTTTATTTCTTTGGAGGTTGTTTGACATTATCTTTTTGTTTTTATTTAATTTCTGTAAATTACTTATTTATTTTCACATGTTTTTTTTCTTCATTTGGTTACTTAATTGTTTCTTACGCACACGGGAAGGACAAACAGGTGTGTGACTGATATGAAATATTTTTCTGAAAAATTCTTGCAAAAAATACAAGTTCTCAATTAAATGTCAATATTCAATATAGTGTAACAAACATTTGGGGAAGGGTGGGGGATGGGGGTGGGGGGTTAGGGGGGTTCAGTGTGCATATTACTGAGCAACAGTACGGTTACCTTGACCTTTTTGCATTTAAATTGTAACTTTTACATTAATTACTCTAACTTCAATCATTTTTTAACAGATGCAATGATGGCAATAAATAAATTCATATTTTATGTAAAATAGTTTGAATAGAATATATTCTTAAAAAAATGTTGCCATTTAAATTACTGTGTGACCTTTCTGCACTAATAAAATGTCATAATTTGGGTATTAAAAATCTAAACATTCATATGATTTTTTTTATGTCAAACTTTTTATGAATTTAGTGCTGATCAGTTAGAATGAAATATGGAGATATCGTGTAATTTCAAAACACGAAGTAAAAAGATGGAGTCGGTGATGTAAATGTTTAGATATGTGAAAGTTTCAGTCTTAAAACAAGGTATATTTTACCTGTTCTTTTTTAATTTAACTGCATTTTATTGGCAAAGTAAAACCAAGGAAATTTGGCAATGAAATATGTGAAATTTGTTTTAAAAACTTTAGTTGAACCCTATATTGGATATTTCTAGAATAATACCGTAAAAAATTCTATGGGTAAAAATATGTAGGCCAAAGTTCCAACATATTGAATAAAATAAATGTTGACTATCTTTTTTCATACAAATTGTTCGGCCATTATTTTCATACTGAATTGCCTATAGAATTCTCCGTTTACTAGAACATTACAAAGGGTATACAGCGGTGTTACCGGTCGATAGGGGATGCTTACTCTACCATGGCAACTGATCCCACCTAAGATGTTTTCACAAGTCAGTGTTTGCTCTGCTCACAATTTGTATTGTTTCAATGAACTTTTGAACATGATAACTGTTTGTTATCTTCGCATTTCATGTGTAGATGTGTCTTCATTTAATGTTGCACATTTTGCATTGTTTAATTCAATTATGTTTAAAAGAAAAACGAAATGAAATAATTCCAATATGAGAGGTTCTGACCAAACTTTTCTCAAAGGCTGTCGAGTTACATACCTTAAAGGTGTGTCAACAACTTATATCATATATTCTACTTAACTAACAAAACATTTCATAATTTTATATATTGTGGGAAAGTTAGCAATACGACTTATATTTATCTCAAGCTTCATAAATATGTCTAATTCATTATTAATACATGTATTAATAGTATCTATGACATTTATTTCAATTCATTTATGAATTTTAATTTCTAAGCATATAATTTTTCAAGACAAAGGATTCCACTTTGAGATGTAGAATAGAATATCCCCAATTTCAAAGTATAATGTGTATAATTCAATATTTTATTTTTTTTAAGTATTATCCTATTTAGTATATGTACGATACTACTCTTTACAATTCATAATTAATTCTATACCCTCGTCTTGATACTTATATAGGCAATGTCTGGAGCCCAATCCATTTAAATGTTATCTTTCTTTTCATAATAAAATATTGATAGATAAAATTTCAGTATATTTCAGTCTCAGTATAAGTAGTTTATGGGGTCTCTAAGGAACAATGTAGAGGGATAAGGCATGAAATATTTAATTTTTATTCTAGATACATATGATCCTGTTAGAAGCTTATAAACGCTACAATATCTATATATACAGGATTATATTCGCCCCGTTTAATATTTGCCATTTCACACTTGCAAACAATTTTACCCCATTTTGAATTCGCCCAGATCAAGTTGTGTTTTAAAGGGCAGTTTTCTTTGAATTCGCCCACTTCCAATGTAGGTGAAAATGGCGTGAATAAAATTGAGCCGGAGATTTCCCTGTGTTACATTTCCAGGAGGATTATGATTCCGATAGAAACACATTACCTCTCTCTGGGCCGGGGAGGGGGGAAGGGGGGGACTTAAAACTATTGAGAATTTTTTTTTAAAAATTGATTTGCCAAAAAATTAATGCCAACAGAACAAAGAAGTTTATTCACGAATAAAGAAAGAATTTTGCAGCAAAGTTGTTTGGTACGTTTTATTTTATTTTTTAATTTTTTTAAATTAATTAATTTATTTATTTATTTTTTATTTATTTATTTTATTTTTATTTATTTATTTATTTATTTATTTTTATTATTTTTTTTTTTTTGGTGGCCTGTTTTCCAGAAATATTTGTATATAGTCCTGTTATAACTTAAAGTTGATGCTGAACATTTCCTTCAACAAAATTCAGTTTTTTTTGTTTTTGTGTTTTGTTTCAACCCCAACCAGGAAGAAATTTTTACACTATGCATCTTGACACATGCATCTAAATTCAAAGTTTAAATGGCCCCTTGTGGTAAATTTAATAGATGTTGCATCTTGACAATGACAATGATTTTATTCTCATAAATGTACAAACATACATTGTAGAGAGGAGGTAGGATAAGATACAAACACATGAAAAAGAATATAATACATTTATAATAAATGGTATAAAATATCATAATAAGATTCAAATCAATTATTTCCATCTATAATTTGTTTAACAATCAACAAAAATTTGACAGATGGAATGGAACTTATTCTATTCCTTGTGTCAAAATGTATGGAATTGACCAATTAAAAGAAAGGTCAGAGTTGAGATTGGATCATAAGCCTTATTTTCCTCCAAAAATTGCATCCTAAAAGAAGCAAAAACAAAGAAATACTGATTAAAACTACAATTAGAAAAACTAATTTGATCATAAATAGGAATTTTTTGGAATATGTATAAATTATATCTTCCCAGAATTATCATAAAAGGAAATTAGGAATGATTTGCTCAGCTAAAACAAATCTACAAAGGGAATTTGAGGGCTTTGTTATTTTTTTAAATGGATAAAACACATATTTATAAAGTATTCTTAAAATGCATGTGTCAATACACATAGTCTAAATAACAAGATGCATGAGGCAAAATAGAAGCATGTGTCAGGAAGCATAGTGTAAACTGGCCTTAAACTGGTCTATAAGGCAGTTACTTGACAGAATAAATAAAATTGTATCTCCTAGGGAATAAAATCCTTTTCTCGTCAGAGACATCGTTCTTGTCTGAGAATATAAACCGTCGCCATTTCTACTAGGGTTCGCATTCAATATAATAAATAATCTACTGCATAAATGTTCGGGAGACGTGAAAAATTCAATATAAATCTTCATATCTCCCTCATTACCATGCAATAAATGCATGTAAATTGCTTCATCTCATATTGACACCATCGTAGTATTTGGTAATCCAGGTCATCTTCCACAAACAAATATTGCGATTTTTCAAATCTTAAAAATATATTCTAGTAAATGTCGATATTCCGTAGAGATTTTTAAATGAACATTGTTTAAACTGGAATAATATTCCAGGACAATATTCTGACATGGTAAATACCAATAAAGGATATATGGATTTTTAACAAAATGCTGGACTTTTCGAGATTATTCAAACTTTCCTAAATGAATGTCATCGTTTTTCTAAAACAGATTTAATTGTTACAATGAAAATTTATATTTTGTACATCTAAGGAAGATTTTATTTCCTTTTTTAAAACTACTATGCATATGTAGTAGACCATATATATATTGGCAATTTACAAAATGTTTTATAAAAACATGTGTCTGATCCTTTTGGCTTTGTCAATAAAATATGTTCAATTCAAAGGATATAGATATTGATTTGTTCATCTTTTTATGTAAATAGTTTTTTTTTAAATTCTTATTAAACAAAGACTTATTAAGAGACACGTGGGACGTTTACTTTTGTTTTTTTACTATGCGTGTTTCGGAAAGGGAATTTTTCGCTCTGTTATAAAAATTAGGAGAATAAAAGGATTTTTATTTTGGTCCAGCTTGGGACCGACCCATTAACTGGGGGAATTCAAATCAATTCAATTTCAACATAAGTCTTATTAATGATTTCTTCTGACAATTTAAATTCACAGTATTCCCCGGACACTTTAAAATAATCATTTACGAGATTTACGAGTACAAGATCAAAGGGTTTTAAAATTCGTGGTTTTTTTTAAAGAAAATTATCAACATATTCTCCCTCCATTTATACTCCGTCCCCCATCGTGACCTACATTTCGGACAGCGGTTGATGACCCCCTCGCTTTTTCTGTCGACATTGTGGACTATTTACCTTCGATTCCCCCTTTCGTTTACATTTGACCAGACGGCTTTATATAATGACCCATCACGTGATGTCTGAAATCTCTTTACGTCCACATACGGATATACTAGAGGTTTCAATGACCGGTGCCAATGGATAGCAGATATCTTATGGACAAAATTTCAAGATTTTTTGCAGGGAATTTTGTCTCCCCCTCGCTCATCATGTCACTGCACCACTGGACTGAAATCGGTAAGTGCACCAAGTTCAATCAGTCTTTTATCTGATGGTCAATGTGTCCTTGTTATTTATCCTAATTGTTTCTTGTACTGGGAAGAAAACGTGAATGCAACACCATGTGGGACACATACATGTACATTGTTATTGTGTGGACCTGATTATTTTTACGGTGACGTCAAAAGACTTGTTTTGATCTAGTTTACTGGAGGCTATGCGTCTGACATGTCTTACTTTGTGGGTGTTATAGATTGTAAACTTGATTAGTTCAGCTACATTGAACAATCACGGAAAAAACCAAACATTCACATACTGAAAGAGAAACATAAATATTTTTTACATATCGTTTCTTTTCCTGTGGTAAATTTAAAAGAAATGTTTATCAAATTAATAAGAACTGAATCATTTCAACATATCTATTAAAGATATAAATTAAAAAAAGAATCAAGAAAAGCAATACCTGTTCTGCATTACAGGGTTAATCTCTGGTCATGAACATGCAGGTTCTGGCTGACAGAGACGTGGGGACAAAAGAGTCTTTTTTCCAAAAAATTTTTTTACAGCTACTCTGTGGTGGCATATTTCTGCCCCCTGTGTGCAAATTATTTTTCTATAGATTAAGTCGACATGCAAGATAATCATGTCAACATGTAACATATCTATATTGACATGCAAGAAAAATGTGATCAATGGAGAATTTGGAAATTTTTATAGTTAGCAGATATCATTTTTCTGTATTTTGCAGCGTATAACAGCGTTTTCTGGGCAGTCGTATTGTGGTCATCTACTGATCTTATTGGATTAGTCATCTACTCGGCGTACATTGTTTTGTCGTTGTCTATTGTTCTTGTGATCATCCTCATCATCTTCAATAAGTCCGACAGTACCATCAGTGAATATATTTTTCTGGCTTTTTGGGGAATATTCTCCTATTTTACGAATTGTTCAATACGGATGCCTACATCGGAGGACGTTCTGTACGATTCCCAGATATTTTCCCCGGAGGCAGGTTCTTTGAGGTATTTTGCAATAGCGTTGCTTGTAGCTAGGACAGGGGGAGATGAACACTTTACCGTTTGGATTATATCTGTCACATGTACATCACTTCTCCTGAATTATCTTTGCGTACAGATGCATGCAACGGATTTTGAAGGAACTTCAGACGAGCGAAATACCGGAACATTTTCAAGAAAACTATCCTATTCCCTATTGTTAATAATACTTTTCACTTCTTATCTGCATAGCACATCCGTATCATCATTTGCAATAACTTTATTAATGACATTTTTTCGAATCCAATATGTAATTAAAACAATAGAGGGAAAACTTAAAGAAAAAGACGGTGATTTGTTGAATAGATCTGAGATTTATTACTGTTTATTATCGGCGTTTTATATTGGTGCATATGCATTTTTTATTAAGACATCTCAACGTAATTTGTTATCGGTGCCAATGGTTTTTCTGTCCATAGAAACATTATATTATATTTACATAATTTTTGAAAACATTTGGATCTTACGAGGACATAAGCAGAACTTTTGGAGAAATACAACTACGATTCCTAAAAACCGGAGGGGAGAACAATGTCCCGTTTGTTTGGCTGAAATTTGGTCCGGTAGGATGACGTCATGTAGTCACGTGTTTCACTCTTCCTGTCTTGTTCGGTGTTTACGTCAGTCCCCTGTGTGTCCAATGTGTAGAAGTGTGATTAATGACAAAAAACTTACCTGAAAGCATTTTGTGCCAAAGTTGTTAACGTCCGAGTGCCATCTCACACTACTGCCATGTTTACTTATACATTTGTTTCATGTTTGAAATAAAATCTGTTCATATGATTAGTCACCTATTCTCACATAATCCGTCCATATGCCCTATTTGGATGTCGCAAGCAATTTAAATTACATTATTATTAAAATAATTGGTAAATTTTGTAGTGTTTTCGTTTGTGATACGTCTAGTTACCAAACCAACATCGTTAAGTGTTAATACACAGGTTAAAACTTCCCTGGGATCCAAGTATATAGTCTAATAAATGGCTTCTCGATCTGTCGCTTAGGCAAAAGGCAAAGTTTGGACCAATGAATAAAACAAAACAATTACATTTTATGCTAAAAAGCACGACTTTTACATATTACAATGCATGAATATATTGATTTTTCACACTTTTAGATATTTGTCTACAGTGAAATTTTTAAAAAATATAAAATAACTTTGTCGCTAAATTTCTGTAATTTACGTTATCAAAATCTTAGTATTTGTGTAAACAGCATAAAAGGGTATCTAAAAACATAAAATATCTACTAGAATATCCAACAAAGTCCATAAAATGCAATCAAAAACAAAGAAAAGTTATATGACAGAATACTTACAGAAACACATTGGTCTTTTAACCAGAGGTGAGTGGTTCGTTTTAAGGATGTATTTTACGTTATCAACGATACTTAAAGAATACAAGTAAAATTGTCTTTGCATATTAATTTATTTCTTCTTCCTGACCTACCAAACACGTAAAATATTAAAACGAACATTGATCTGTGCGAGTACACATTTTACACCAATTAATCTGATAGAAAGTAATTTACGTTATGTAATTTACGTTATCAGTATAATACATATATGGTATCTATCTTGCAAATAAGACGTCGGGACAATACGGAACCATGCAGGAAACGTTATTGGTTTCTTTTCGAAAGCATCTTAACACCACCGAACTTCCGATGTAGATCTGATGCAGGAAGCGCCATCAGATAACGTAAATTACGTGTTACCTTTAACAACTTTCAAATAATTCCTCAAAGATGTATTTTTGGCGTGAATTTCAGTTGATTTTATAAACAAGGTGTACTTCTATTTATTTGTAGCAATATTTTACGCATAAATCTCTCTTCATTGATTACTTGATGAAGTAAAACATTCATAACGTAAATTACAGTAAAAATAACATAAATTAAATATAATTTAATTGCCTTTCTCCGTAATTATATTTCATAGATTTCATTTAACAGAGATTGTAAAGTCAAAAGCAGAAATTAAAAAAGCATATGGGGAATAAAAGAAGAAAAAAATAGGGAGAGGCATAACTAGAGAAAGATAGGAAAAAATACATACCAACAGCAGATCTTACATTGTCATTATATTTAACTGTGAATCTCTCAAAAGGATGAAAAATAATCAGTGTTTGTGGCATTTTGTGGGCAATTGAGAATACTGCATGTCATTAGATGGATGAAAATAAGTTCAAGAAAATATTAATTTTTGGTTTGAATACCAGTAAAATTGTAATTTACGTTATCAATATATTTCTTTAAGAAAAACCAATTTAGAATTTTCACAGTCTCTTCCCAAATTAAATTTTAAAATCCTCTTCTCTTATGATTCATAAACATAAAATCAAGTCGCACAGGAATTCAGCTTAAACATTTCTAGTAAGAAGGAACAGAATTATTTCAGTTGAAAAATAAGATTAAAGAAAATAAAATTTGTTAATTACAAATTAAGAGTAAAACACTGGCAAAAAACAAAAATTTTCGAAGTATTTTTTTTTAGTACAGACATAGTGCTAAAAAAATCCAAGTGAAACTGAATATTCATTTTGGCAATAAAACGATTTTTGACGGGTTCATTTCGACGTAAGATAATAACGTAAATTACGAAGGTAAATACACTACCTATATTGCATATTGAATATTTTTGTCATCATGCATGGTTGAGTTCCAATATTTTGAAAAATAATTCTCCCATGTTTTGTTTGCTAAAAAACATCAACTTCTCCCCCAAATAATGACTTTATTTTTTTAATGAAAGTTAGGCTGCATGTGGACGGATTATGTGAGAATAGGTGATGTACGTTTATTGTATTATCTTCCTTGTTAGACTATCTCCATGGATGGATTTTAAATTTTCTGTAACTTGACAATATCAGACAATCTATTAATTCGAATCAACAATTTTGTTTTCACTGCTATGTCTATGGTTTTATTTCACCCATTATTCAGTATGAAGCACTGGCGGATTTAGAAAGGGGACGCTTTTGTGTCCAAATATATACATAAGATTTAATAAATCATTTTTTGGGGTTTGGCCATGGCGCCCCCACCTCGACCCCTAACTGCTTCCTGGAATTTAATTTATCGTGGGGAATGGTTGTATAAAATTTTGAAAAGTCGTATTGAACATATTTTATTGACAAAGAGTCAAAAGGATTAGACACAAGTTCAAAAACTTCGATAGTCTTCTCCTAATACAACATTTTGTAAAATTGCCAAAATAAAATACATGTATATATATGGTCTACTTCATATACGTAGTAGTAATAGAAAGATCTTTAAATGTACATGCAAATATAGATTTACAATGGTAAAAAATTAAGTTTTTTTTTTTTTTGAAAAACGACCACATTTATTTAGAAAAGTTTGAGTAATCTTAAAAAGTTCAGCGTTTTGTTCAATAGTAAGAGAATCGGAAGAAAAGTCGTACGTTTTCATGTTATTGATTTCGTTAAAATTTTGTGGTTTCAAATTTTCTAAAAGTTCCTTAGAGTTTTTCAGTATCAACATCTGATTTACACCACTTCTCGAATATACTGTTGTACAGTACTTCTGAAGTTTCTCCTTCATTGCTGTAAATATTTTAGTGAGGAGTAAAAGAAAGAGGCTTGGTAGAACATTTACTGGAACCCGCTATGTATCTCTGTTTGTAAGGACAAAAACGGCACCATGCACGAAACTTTATGGACAGCCTTCGTACTTTCCATTTTGATAACGTCAAAGTTTTTATTATTCTTGAAAACTTTCACAATGTACATTAACCACTTTTATTCACAACACAAATAGTACAATATTCAGTATTATTTATGACTTTTCAACATGTTATATAACCATCCCTCAGAATAAATTAAAGACCAGTTTTTGACGTCATAGACAACTGCTTCTTTAAAAAATGCAACTCGGAAATGAATGGTCATCTAAAAATCATTCTCAAAAAAAAAATCAACAGACCTTTTTCTTTTTTGTATTCTTTTGAAGCCGATTCACTTCTCACTTTTCAATCAAACGTATATCCTCCTGAACTCGGAATAAAAGAATCCACAGAGCCTATTTTCCATCTTTTTCATGTTTGGATGTTTCACTAAAGAAAGGCATATGGCAAACTAACGACTAAACTTTATGATGTGATTTCAAGCTTTTCTTTAATAACTTCTCTTATTCATGTAGAAATATACCATTATCACCTGCATAAAGTATTCATGTTCCCCAGTTGATTTGATACGCAAGAGCATGTTCTAAGTACGAACAATTTCTAAACTGAGGCAGGCTACTAACAAACAAGTTTTAAAGAGCTATTCTCTGTAACCACTTAAACTTTCCTTGTCCGTTATTACAACTTGACACCAGAAATATATATCAAATAAAATGTGGCTGCTATGTGTCTTGGTTGCCATGGTAAAGTTTGAAAAATTGAAATTTTCAGCTACTTTGAATCTTTATTGAGCCTTAATAAAGACCAAGAAAAACAAACAAACCATTCTCACAAAAACATGACACCTTGTTGCCACTTATGCTATAATGAAACTATTTAGAATATATATCTTTAAGTAAGTGGTAACCATGGGTACATTTGGAATACATTTTAAATGCAGAAAAATACTGGGAAATGCTCAATATTCACTAAGTGTAATATGATCAAACTCGATCAACAACTCAAGAAAAACAATAAAAAGAAACTTAAGCAGTTAGGTATTGGCAATATTTTTGTAAAAATAACTTTCATGGTTGCAATGGTAACACTTACCCATACAAAATTTGTTGCGTTTTTTTTAATGCTACTATCTGAAGAAAAATTGGGATTAATTCCTACTTTGCAGTGTAACCATGGAAACAATGTACCAGTGGTTTAAAGTGGGGTTTTTTTTTGTTTTGTGTGTGTTTTTTTTTTTTTTTTTTTTTTTTTTTTTTTTTTTTTTTTTTTTGATGCTTTAAGAATTTAGTTACTTTTTAATCAAGAAACATATTATTTGACTTATTTTATATAGTACTTACCTGACAGAACTAAAGATGAATCTCATATATTGGTAAAGTTTGATGAAAGAAATAACACTGACGTTATGGTTATCAAAAAGGGAAAATGTTGGATTTTGCTCACTTTATAGCAATATTAATCCCCATGTGGTAGCTTCCTGTCTCCAGTTAAAGATTGTGTGGTAGTCAAAATTGATAGCCAGGTTAGTTGTTCAAAAATATCAAAGATTACAGTTTTGGGAATCTATATAGAAGGGTACGTATCCAAGGAAACAAAGTATTTTTCAGCTTTTTGTACATATTTTTTTTCTGCTTATTTCCATAGCAACGCCCCATTTAAAGAATTTAAATTGAATTTTTTTTAAATGTGAAAATTGGGACAATACTATGTACTTACCATTGCCTTTGAAAATTGATCACCAGTTATTGTGCTTTTAAAGAGAAAGAATTAGACTAAAACATACAGATAGTAAATTTAAAATCCCTTTTTGGTACTAAAATCCATGGCAACCATTGCCAACAATGAGAAACATCAAATTTCGTCCTTGGTATGTGTTAGAAGGATCTTTGTCTATAATTTGGTGGCATTACAACCTATGATTGCTTTTATATTTTAGTGTATGACTTTATAAGTATGAATGAATAAAATTATTACTTTTTAATACTTTGTTTCCATAGTAACGTTTAAAATATTTGATTTCCCAAATATGTTTATCTTGCATTTAAGAAAACAGGCCTTCAACTATTCGAAACAGTCATTGCTACTTGTTTGCACTCCTGCAAACACTAACTATGGGACTCTGAACATGTTGAAAAATGCCATTTTTCAAACTTTATGGCATGTTGCCATGGTAACCATGACACATAGACACCAATTTTTGCCTGATTTGAGATTACGGTATCAAAGACTTTCAACATAGAGATTTTGAGAAATTCTGAGACTATGCGTGCCACAGCTCCTATATAAAATTTCAAGTCGTTACAGAGAATGGCTCTTAAGATGAAAGTGTGTCAACAATTTTTAGTCAACATCGATACAATGACCTTTGTTTGCAAATATAACCTGTCGAAAAGTCCATGTTGACTGACGTTTCTTAGACCATTATTTTCATACTGAATTATTTACCGATTACTCCGTTTACCCAAGCCAATGGGCTCACGACGGGTGTTACTTGTAGACAGGGAATGTTTAATTCTCTGTGGCACCTGATCACTAATCTCTTTTTAGGGGTTGTCTTTGCTCTGCTCTCAGTTTGTATTGTATAATTGGACTTTTGAGCGTGATTACTGTTCGTTACCGTCACATTTCACCATATTGTAAGTAGTACTTTCACGTTTATTGTTGAGAATTTAAAAAAAATCTTTTATTTCACAACTTTTTTCAGGTGTGTTCAGCATCAAAGATGATCAATCTCAGAAATTCATTGAATACTTTGTTCACCTTATTGTCCAAATTCATTTAAGTTCAGGGAAAGTGTCAATATTGAGTTATATAGGAATACACCAAACCATTCAATCAAATATTACAACACTGTAAAATCACTCTGTGCACAGAGGTTTTATTAGTACAATAAATGGTTACATTGGGAACAATCCACCCAGGTAGTAGCATAAGCGGCAGCCATGCCAACATATCACATGAGGCAGCGCCCCCTATAGGGCGAGTTCAGAAACCCTAACAGTTCATCAACTAAGCCCTAGAGGGCGTGGCAGTACTGACATGGCTTCCGCTGTAGATCAAGTACTTGTCTACAAACTGGCCAGAGGTTGTCGGTCACGCGCTAGTTAAAAAATATTCAATTGGATTAACAATTATAAATAAATAATATGATTAATCAAATAAAATTTTTATAACTTTGATCCATCATGAATGAATATACGACAGGTCAATATTTTCTAAACAAGAGAAATAAATAATACAATCACTTTCATAAATCACATAACACAGGGAGCAAACAGCCTCCGCAGTTATTATCCTCCCACCCAACAAAACACATCATATACAGTGTAGGAATATCGTTATCTATTATTAGATTACGCTAGAGCTTTGGTACTAATGGGATGCTAACACTGTATGAGAAACGAACAAATGACAGGTGTTCTAAATTTGGCAGTGGTTTTGGCTGCCATGGATCGAATTTCAGACGATTCATCCCAAGCCAACAGAAGAAGACGGAGGCAAGATACAAATCAGATGTCACTCTCTATATTTACAACAATCAAGATGGTTTCCGAAATACTCCACGCGCCTCCTTAACAACAGACACACTCTGCTGAAGGTGGGAGTGCTTCCTAACTAAGGCCCGGGGAGCAGAGGCAGCAAATGTGTCTAACAGAAATAGTAATGGAATGGTAGTGCTCTTTGGCTTGAGAAAAACCGTAATTAAAACAGATAATTTAGGAAGAAAAAAATAAAATACAAAGATTTTCCACCCCTTATTTCAAAATGAGCCTTCAACTGCTGTCCGTAGGTATAGATTATTTATTGTCCATTTTGACACACTGACACGTGATTTTTAAGTCTTTTACGCCACATTCACGGAGATTAAAGTTCGTATTTTTGAGGGGTGATGGATGAGAATTGAGTCGACTAGAAGTTCGATGTTATTATGCCTCTTCTGAGCTGCTTCCCTTGATGATCCCTACAAATCTCTCATAATCTAACTTTCCTCCTTCAATAGGGGCTTCTTTAAACGTCTGCCTCATCTGAAAGAAAATCATTTTACGTCTTTTATTATAAGCAATTATAATTTGTTTGCATTGAACCCCTGGTGCATGCTACTATATTTACTGAGTATTCATATTCTTTTTTAAAAAATCTTTAATTTTTTTTAACATTTCGAACATTTATTGTTGAATAAAAATCCTATTACCTCCTCCTTTGTGAAGTTGTCTCCCATGTTTTCTAATAAGTCCTTGATGCTGAAAATTATAAACGAGAACCATTTTAGACTGAGATTAAAACATCTGTACTTTGAAGATTTCCTCTTTTTTTAATACTAGTACTTCGATTTGTTTATTTATCACACTTACTACTCCTCTGGAATTTTTCCCTTTCCATCCTTGTCAAACATGGCGAAGGCGTTCTTTAAAGAATCCTCGGGATCGGTACCTAATGACAGACGAGAAAAGCTTATTACGCGTGGTCATAAGAATAAATAACGTAACAATTAATTAATGTACGTATGCTTGTAATGAAATTATATTGTTCAGAAAATTAGGAACAAATATCCCACTCACAAGGAGGTTAACTGATTGATTTAATAATTGAATGATTTAATGATTGATCGATCGACTGATTGATTGATTGATTGATATACCGCCGAGTTTGTCGCTGAAGAGGGAGAGGAACATTGTGAAGTTGAGGGGTCCGGGGGCCTCGGCCAACATTTCTTTCAAGGTTTTATCATCGGGTGTGCTTCCTGTAAATAGATGCAAATATTAACTTAATGCAAATATTAAAAAAAAAAAATAATGCGTTTCAGTCTTTCTTTAAAAACTTATTACTAAAAAACAAAAAAAATCAAAGAAATTACTTTTTCATTTAAAGCCACACTCTCTGAAGTATTCTGAACACCGGTTAGGTTTTTTTTACGCTTTTCTTGACATTTCGAATTTGCAACAGGTGAGATTGTAGAATTATTTGTTTAACAATAAAGAAATAAATAAATGTGTTATTTTATGAAAAATATAATCTTTCTGCAATTCAAGACTTAGTAACTTAAGCTTTCTTCGGATATTGTTTCAAAATTGATAGCCAGAAGTTTGTATTTTATATGCTTATCAACTTGAACAATGAATCCTACTAGAATATCAAAATAATATTTATGTCAGACATGATTTGGTGAATGTTCTACTGTATCTAATGCTGATCAGCAAAAAAAAATGTATATACAAGTAGAGATCTAACATTCCGAGGAACACCTTTACAACAAAGATTACTGTTTATCTCCCGTGTGGATCGCCTAGCAACCAAATATTTGGAGAATTACGGCGTTTGGCTGCTTTCCATGTAAACTCTTTCGATCAAGGTGCAAGATATTGATAAGCTTTAGAAAATTGCCTCTGAAAAATTTTCAATACGTATGAACCCAAAAAAATGTTGATTCGCGCATTAAAATATGAATTCTGGTCGACATACACATAATGATATGCCACTACATTACAAAGATGAGCATGGTGATTACTGAACAGAAATGATGCCAGGAGTCACTCAACAATGAAGTTTTTGTGATGAGTTTGGACGAGTGCCAGAAGCAGGCACCAAATACATATGATAATAATTTGTGAGGGTTACTTCATGAGCGATGCATTTAGATTTGCATGCGCAGCATTCTACACGCTTGTCTCTAGTAACAGGCGATTGAACTGTCATTTCGTACGCCTTCTTGCCAAAATTTTCAGAGTAGTAGCAAAAGCCAGCTAACTCATAGTATAGCATGTCATTTTACAATAATAGCAGGTATAGAATATGTAACAACTTACCTAACGATGAGAACATTTCCTTCAGGTCGTTAATATCGATAAAACCGTCCCTGTTCTGATCAATCATTGTGAAGGCCTAAAAACCAAAATAAAATATGAATATTGAACATTCAATGCAAATTCAAAGACTCAAGGGAAAGTCACATGACCTAGAAAATAGCAAAATACTTTTATTTTGAGTTGCATGTGCTTTGAAATTTTAGTCATGTTAAAATAACTTCAAAATTTAGAAGAAAAGGTATTTCAACATTCAAAAGAAAATATATTTGTTTTTCTCAGTCAAATCGGAGAATACACTTGGAATATACTTGTACATTTACAACATTCAATTTCAAAATGGTATCGGTGTGCACACGAAGAATCAAAAGCAGGAGAAAACGAATATGAAAAATAGGAAACATGCCTGCCAAATTAAAGGTGACGTGCAACTGATAACGAAAAAAAAAAATCATAAAAGGTCAACTTAAGAAAATCAAGTTTCTCATCCAGTAAATCTGTTAAGATTTCTAGGTAGTGGTGGGGAGATCATCTTGATCCGATCTTTAATAAAAGACACATCGATTTAACAAAAAAATAAAGAGAATTTCCATTAATGTTCTACATATAGAATACAAAATTCTACAGGACTCTAATCTACGGAATAATAAATTAAAATTTGTCTTCTATTATAATCAATCTACAGCAAATATCACTAGACTAAACAGGAAAATCTAGTCTAATTTCGTCAACCCACCGATACCCTTTCGAAAGTAAAAGCATTTTTTGTCAAAAGATGAACATTGACATGTTTTCAGTAGCACATCCATCATTCTGCTGAAGGTAAACAAAAACCATATCAACAAAATACCGGTGTTAAAGAGCAGTTGCAATGAAGGTCTTTGTGAATCGAAGTATACCAACAAATGGAAAATGATGAAAAATTGTGATTGGGATATAAGAATTATGGAGCAATGATGGGCATGCGATAAGGAGGGGTAATTTGTGCTTTCGTTTTTATATTAACGCAGCACAGCCGGCCTTAATTAATTGGGAAGAATCCAACGTTCAGTCAGCCCATATAAAGTTAGTTAATATGGACGATGAAGTATAGGAGGAGTCCACTGGCTGGTGGACTTTTTTCATGCCGGAAAGAATTAATGTCACCATCAAACTTCAGTTAAAAATGAAAACCAAAAACGTTGACAGTGCTTTTTGATGCCGTAGCATGCCATTTTGTATCAGACCTCCTTCATTTCTTGGATGACCCTCTGATTAAACTTTGTCAACACATTTGAGGTGGCGGCCCGGACTTTTTGTTGTTGTGCCTGGAATGAACAATTCACACCATGTTAGCTACGCTACGTCACTACAACTACATTATTTCCTACATCATACCTCTTTCATTTCTTGCATTAATTTCTGTGGAAGACGGGCAAAAACATTCGACGTCGCCCTTTCCGCTCGACTTTTCTTGTCCTGTTCGTATATAAAATCAAACAGTGACGTATCACCTTTCAAAGGTTTGACCAGACTCTCACTACAGCCCTGGTCTTAAGCAACTAAAAACAGTCAAGCAGCCCTCTAATCATGCCACCAGAGCAAAGAACACATCAACAGAGCGTACCGAAAAAGATGGACGAAATTAAAAAATCTAATAAAATGAAAACGAGTGATAAATCACTTATCATTGTCTCTTATGTAATAAAATTATTTCCAGAACAGCGCTGTATGAAGTTGTAGTGTACATGCACGTTTATATAGGGAAAGGAGAAAAGTTACGTTCTAACTACCAGGTATTTCAGAGAAAAGACTAAATAATGAACGACTTTGTTTTTGGATACTGTAATTGTGTACACTATATTGTAGCTTAATAAAGGATAATAAGAGTATAAACTACAACTACATGTATTATATCTAAAGGCAGTATGTCTAGAAAGGCAAACCATTTCTACTTTATATTAAACTATCTGGTCTAGCTACTGTTACACTGACACCAACTTACCTTCTGTTGATGATGAAAAATAAAAATATGAAAAGAATTTTAAAATGTGTTCAAGATTGGCTACTTGTATTATGTATCAGTAGAAAATAAAAAGTCGTTGTTCAATGTATTTTTTTTTTCAAATCTAAATTAAACTGATGTGGAGAAAACAAAATACTAGTATGCAAAAAAGTTATGGAAAGTGTTAAAACAACAATTCGTAAAGAAAACATTGATTGTCATTGACCTGTAAACCTATACCCTAAGTCAGTCTTTGCAAGTTCAGATAAAAAAAATGCATGCTTGCAAAGAGCTGACCATTTACCATCCCTAAAGGAATGTAGGCATAGAGATTCTATTTTTTTTCTCTCCCTCCAAACTCCGATAAAATTCACTTTCAACTGCAATATGCATGCCACCATTTTGTTTACAATTCAAGAATCAAATTCTCACACGGTATGAATTCTCCGGAAATTAAGAATTGCATGGTTGTAAACAAAATCCGTATTAAAGTAATTCACTAAACTCCCAAGGATAAGAATTCAATAGACAAATCCATGTTAAAATGTTACAAAAGATCACACTCCAAACAGTACTTACGTCGTCAGACATGTTTAATCTGAAATAAAAGAAATTTTCATTAGTACTATTACCGCAGATATACCTTATCTTTTTATAAATTTCAAGTACATTGTAAGGGGTTGGTAAATTTCTTTTTAAAAATTTCCTAAATGTCAAAATTGGAATGCGTCATCACACTGGATACTCAAAGAAAACCAAAGATATTTATAAGAAATATCGAACAAGTTTGACTTACAATATAGATGAATTAGTCCCAAAGAGATCACAGACAATGGAGGCAGCTAGAGGCTTGGCAATGGAATGGTGGTGAGGATAGAAGCAGCGTTCCTTATGAATGCCTACTGTTTATCCAACACCATGCAATGCCTTAGCCTCCCGCTGCTCTCAGATCATCTGCCTTACGTATCAAATGTCGGCGGGCGGCGCGTGCTGTTTGCCAGATGTGCGATTATAAATTACTTCGCGTTCGAAGCTTATATACATTATACATATGTGTATGCAAGTGTGGCTTCACATTTTAAGTTTACAAACAGTGATTTATTCTTCAATCCCTTGTGTTTCGTGCCAAAAAAGTCCTTAAGTTTTTGCATTAAAATGAATTTGTTTTTGTTGCTGCTTCAGTTGTTACGTACGTATATTTGTAAAGCAAATGGGGTATTCAAGCAAATGTACCTAACTGGCTAAATTTGTTACTTTGAATTTGATTTTTTTCCCCTTTAATTATCTGATCAACTACCGCCATCTTCATCTATTCAAAGCAAAGAAAGTTAGGAAAGGTGGAAACGAAAGAATAGCAATTTGGTTAAACCCTATATCCAAATTAAAAAAATCGAAGGTTTAAAATACTTATTTACACTCTATTTGTACTGTTTTGCAGAGTGACTTACGAGTTCGTCTATATTTAGTACACCCAGGGTAAAGCATAACGCCCACACGTCTTCTACATTACGCTCCCGATAAAGTCATCGTTTGCAAATCCCTGCTCTACAAATTTCCAAGATCTTCATAATGCCATCATGCATTGCAGAAAAAAAAGTGGTTCTATCGCCTGTAAACATAGATTTATTTTGACCTTCTATTTTTCGCAATCGTCCTTTCGGTTCAATTCTGTATTTGTGAAATTTAATCAAATTCAATTATATGTACATAAAGTCTTTCAAAATCTTTTTTTAATATAGGCAAATGTTTACATGAAAAGGGCTTTCTTTAGCCAGCCCTTTGCCCATAAAAACGGAGATAGAACTATTCAGGAAGAGGTTCGGTATCTATCTGCATTATGTGTGTAAATGTTTTAGTGGTTCTTAAAAAGTAACCGGCGAGGAAGCTGAAGATATATACACAGATCTACAAATGCCGTGATCGTCGGTAGATAAAACCTTGTACTTAACTCGTGGTGTTATAGGTGTATACAATGCATTGCTCTTATCTTTCCTCAGAATATCTTGCTGTGGAGGAATTTCATATTCATATTAAGGTCAAAGGTCAATGTGCAAAGACCCTGACAAATATGTAGTCATGTTTCTGCATATGTAATGAGACTAGATATTTAGTATCTATACTTGTATTAGTACCACACTGTATATTTCTTCTTACAGTATTTATTACAACTAATGATACTGCCAGAGTAGATGTATTTAGGTATTCAGAATATTAATAAAGGGTACTTATTTCCTAAGTTTGCGGGGTCAAAAATAAAAAACAAAATATCCTTTTTATTATTTTTAAGTATGTCTGTACTTTACTCACATTCTTGCAGGTTTGGACAAATGTGAAAAGCATATTGATACTATTATCATTATTTTAAGTTGAACCATTGCATGCATGAATATCAGGTTACTCCATTCAGATACAAGCATATCATATTTCTGACCGGTTCCATTTAAGCTGTCTGATTTAATTAAAACAAAAGATATCAGTAAAATGTACTCACCTTTTTAACTAGTAAAACCTCTCGAATTATCTCAACAAACACTTGACGGATCGACCTGCACACACCCTGCTCCTTACCGGGCTGATGGGAAGACACTACGAAAGTGAAACCTTCTCAACTCCACTCTTATCACGCATACCTTCCTCTCCTGACGTCACGGCGCTTGTTCCAAAGATGGGCCGATTCGTGAGGTATCGGTTGACCGAGAACAGCTTCCGTATCTCCATCGCTACGCACCTAGCAACCGCCGTTACGATGGAAATATCATATGCTGATTCTACACTTGTGCATGATTATAGAGCACTATGCTAGGACGTTTTATGTTGTTTGTGAATGAATGAATTTGTTTTTCTTATGTTTATTTGTAATGCAACGTCTAGACGTTATTTGCAATAAATACTTTATGATTTTTTTGTTTACCGAATAATTGGTAATAAAATTTCCCAAATAGATTTTGTAAAATATTTAAAAATGGGGGGAAAATGAATTTCTAACAGAGGACCAATTAATGCCATTTCTAAATATATTCTTTAATTATTGGGGGAGGGGAGGAGGGTCCCAAACTTGACAAACTCATTAAATAAATGTATGATTAGACTAGACATACAATCAAGTTAAAACAAAATTATATTTCACTTAGTAATTATTTATAACAAATTCAGAGTATTTAGAACTAATACGTAACTGTTTTATTATAATTACATCTGAAATTTGGGCTTGATTTTTTCTTTCTTTCTTTCTTTTTTGTTTATTTATTTTTTTTAATAAGAAAGTCTGTTAACTTTAAAATTCACACAACATGTGCTTTGCATTGTGCAATAAATTAGAATTGTTAATAATAATTAGAAATCGCTGTGTCAGAGATAGGGGAATATGAAATACATGTGGTTTACAATCCCCCGCAAGGCGCACAAGTTCGCGGAATCGACGCGTGAAGATTTGTGACACTATCCATATACAGCTACGTGCATTACGCGTGCCTGATAATTAGGACCACTAGAAAGAAATAATGAATTAAAGATGAGGAACTGTTAGATTACAGACTGCTACATTTTCCACTATCATACTCAGGGCTGTCCATTGTGACCAGAAGGTCACTCGGCAGGAACATCGGCAGGGGGTGGTTGCAGTTCCGTACGTGTTAATTCAACATGAAAGTTGACCTCTTTGTGATTTGCTGGAGCAAAGAGCGGGGCGACATACACATATATTTATAATTGATACACGGCATCTGATGTCGGGATAAGTGAAGACATTTTTTCTTTGATTTGTACTTTGTCTTAAAGTTTTATTATAGAAAACACATAAAATCTGAAATGTGATTAAAAATTGTTTCCCTTTCATGTTGTTAAATTTTAATTTTCAAGTGTCAGTTTATATGAATACTAATTTTATGAATGACTGAAAACTGACTGTCTAAGACAACATATGATCCTGGGGCCTCGCCCCCCCCCCCCCCGCCTCTCTCTCCCTTTACAGTATAAAAAAATAAAGCTATGATATAATAATAAATGCAATGTTGTGTTTTGCATGTATGCATGTATTTGACCAGTGCATGACCCTTAAAATATTTTTAATTTAACGCATGTATGTATTAACAAGCATTCTGAAAGTATTGCATTAGCAATACTAGTCCCCTACCGGCAAGTGTAATCTGGTTCCCATTAAGAATTGAAAATGTCATAATTCCGTAAAAAATGAATGAAGTGGAACGAAATGCAAACTTGATCTATTACTAATCAAGGTAAAGTAACACACCAAAAATCAGCTCAATATCTTAAAGCGTTTAGAAGAAAATCGCGGAAAACCCTTAAAAATTGAAAAGGCCATAATTCCGTCAAAAATCAATGAAGCGGAACGAAATGTAAACTTCAAGATACACTCACATACCAAAAATCAGCTCAATATCTGCAAGCGTTTAGGAAAAAAGTGCGGAAAACCAAGTGGGGCAGACTGACAGACAGACATGGGGACAGACAGACAGACAGACGGACGGACAGACTCAGAGGAAACCTATAGTCCCCTCCGGTTTCACCGGTAGGGGACTAATAAAAATGTTTGCAAAGAGAGAAGAGGGAGAGAGAGTACAGTTCTAAAATAAATAATTAAAATATGAATTAACCATTTTATTAGACAATAAGTTTGAAATGCTTGGAGTTGGAAATTGTGTGAACACTGATGTACAATAAGTGTTCAAAGAAAAGGATTTGTTAAATGTCGCTTTCTAGTTTAAACGCAACGCAGTTTAAAACTTTATTGTCCATAATTTCCTCTATACATTAAGAGTTCCAATAATTGAAGGACCTTTATATATGCGATTTTATGATGCCTGGTAATGCTGTACACCTTCTCTGAATCAAATTTTGAGGATATACCAGCAGAAACTATATTTCTGTTAATTTTTCTTTAAAAGACACAGGGATTTTCATCATTCCATATCTTTTGCCAAAGAAAATCTTATCATTTTATAATCTTAAATCAAGAATATCTTGGAAAATTATCAGCGGGAAAGGTACATTGTAATGTTCATGTACGTCGTGTATGACCTTAACTAAAGGGATGAAACAAGTTGACATTGACCCGACTTGAACTGTTGAAAGCATGGAACAAGATTTACGTCCCTTGCGTCAAGAGATTATACTTGGTTTACCTTGATTTTTTTTTCTACAATACCATGTAAATATTATGCATTGCTAAAGTTAATCAATCAAAAAAGACATCCCACTGCAATAAAAATGATGCTTTACTCCGTGTTTACACCCCCCCCCCCCCGTATTTCATTAGATCCACCCTGCTGACTTGAAACTTGTGAATTAATACTGTTATTTGTAGGGCTGGGTTTGTCTGGAGAATTCGTATTGCGATATATTGCGATATTTCTTACTGTATTGCGACATGTATTGCAATATTTCCAACATAAATTGAAATGGTATTTTCTCATTTTCATGCAGAATGTACAGAACTATGATAAATGGCCAAGAAAAAATATTTTGTTGATTAATTTACAGTTATGTATCAAAATACACCCACTGCAACAGCTTTTGCCTTACTGTTTGGCACGATCGCAAACGATTCTGACAACATATACTTTATTTTTTATTATAGAAATCCGAGTCCAAGCATTTTCCCGGTATATCGGTACTACAAAAACGTATTGTAGCAATATACCGGAATATCGGTATTATTGCCCAGCCTTGGTTATTTGCGACTCTGATCCAAAGAACTATTTCTATTAATTTGTTAATGTTGTCAACATTAAAACAATGTTCAGTAGACAAAAATAGAGCTGAAAAAAATGCAGAAGCAGAGAGATGATCAGGTGTAAGGACAAGGACACTTACGGTACCTACCAAGTAGTAGAGTTTAACAAGAGTCTCAGGGTCTCAACAACTCAATGGAGAGGGGGGGAATAATGTTTTCCAGTCCACCATCTTATTATAATAATCATTTTGCTATATCTTTTATCCATTTATCCACTCATTAATAGCAATCTATTTGGGTTTTTTTTCTTATATTCCTAACATCTTATGTAGATCAAACTATCCATAGATAAAGGGGGGGGCAGTTCATTGACAAGTTTATTTCCAACTGAAATGTAAAATGTGAGAGTAATGCAGGACAAGTTTACATTTAACTACACTAAATTCCACATGTATTTTGCTTATAAGGTGCATGGAAGGCTACAGCATTCAAAACACCATAACATGGATGGGGAGGTCAAATTGACAAAATAAGCGAAAAACAAATTTCACGCTCACATTAAACAGTTTGACAGCAGTAGCTGTTACAATGGCTCTTCCATTAATTCAAACTTACTCCAAGGATAATACAGGGATTTTGAGATATAAATCACATTTGCAGACAAGGAAGGGGGCTAAGAAAATGCAAATATATGCATTGAATTATTATTTTTTAAAAGATGTAGTCTCATAACTGCAACGGTGTTGTGTGTAAACAAATTTTCATAATGCGCTAATACTTTTTGCACACACACTGTGCAGTTAATAGACTCAAAAAAAATAATAATAATTCAATGCTTAAGAATAAATAACACAAACAAACTTTTTTTCAGGAATCAGCAATATTTCTCATAAATATATATTCAAACAGGTAACCTGAATAAGGTTTGCAGTGTAAAGTGGGAGAATTTTGTAAGATTTTGTCACAATGTTAAAACTAAGTGCAAAATTATATAGAAACCAAATCAAAGTCTCATATTTTAGCACCAAAGAAAACTCAAGATTTCTTTTTATTTTAGGTATTTATCATTTATGTCATTTCCATTCAAAATCAGTCAAAAAATACATATCAATCCAGGCATCAAATTTTTGTTTGTGTTAAGTATCCTTACGTATATCATATTTAATACCCATTCATACCATCACAGCAAATCTCATGTGTAAATAATGACATATTTTATTTGAAGATTATAAATATATCAGACTTTACTTTCACTATTTTCAACAGATTCACTTTCACTACTTTCTGGGCTATTCTGAACCTCTAACTGTTTCATTCTCTCTGCTAATTGTAGAACCCTTTCTGTAGCAGTCATTTGTTTCACAGAAACTCTGCCATAGTTTGGATCTGGAAAGGTCTTTAAATTTACAGCTGGATCTTTGAATAAAAATGGATGCCACACCCCCTGTATGCTGGGGTTGTGAGTATGAAATGGTTTAGTTCTCTTCACTATATCCACTCCTGACCGAGTTCTGGCTACCTCCACCCACTTACAGATCTCCTCCATGTTCATGTTTCTCACATCAGTCTTATGAGAATTGCCATTCACTGAAATAATTAAACTATAGTTTAAGCAAATTTCATTTTGAAAAAAATATTTAAAAAGGAAATAACATAGAAAATCAATATCATTTGGAGACTTACAGTAATCTGCTCGTATGTTAGCACCTCGATGGCGGGTTGGTTTTACGTACACCACAATGTTGGGATATTTCCTGGCAAAATCCACAAGATAATTCTCTACAAAATCCCTACAAGAAATAAATAAAAAATTGACACAGGTTAGATTAAAACTGAATAATATTTTTAACATGAAAAAACAAAATATGTGACAGATCAAACCAAAACAAAGCCCTCATTTGAACTCTAGACTAGATAGAATCAATGTACATTGTAAAATGATTTTGTCTAATGGACTCAGTTTAATGGTGGAATTTACTGACTTTCAAGCTTTCTTGTCTTTGGAAGTCAAACACTAGACCATCAAATCCCCCCTAAAACAACCCTACCCATGCTCCTCACTGGCAAGATTTTTCTTGCTTGCTGGGATATCAAATCTACTCAGAGCCTGATTCAAAACTAAGTCAACTCAAACCCAACACATCAACTCATAAGACCTTGGTTATGAGTTCACTCTTGCTTTTTGATGGGTGAAGTCAAGTTGTACCTTAGGCAAAGGCAAAATTTGAATTGTAACCTGCCCTGTGTCCAGCTACCATATATACTTGGCTATAAGTCGTTTTTTTTGAGAGTTAAATTTTGGTCCAAAACTCTATGTCTGCTTATAGGCGAGTCATAAAAAGATTAGTATTTTTTCTTGACGGCGAAATGTAGTATTTTATACACATTTCCCACGATTATCGTTGACAAAGTCTAGATATATTATATCATTTATGTATTCTAAAATTACACATGAAGTACAAGTATTTACATATTTTAATAATTCTATTTTTATCTTAAGTGTACATAAGTCATTATATATTTTTCTTAAGGATTTAAAATTAAATATTTTTAAAAATATTAATCTAAACCAGGTTAAACATCAGAGCATTGATTTGAAATTGTCAACTGATCTGGCAAAAAGTTGTACCGACTTATAAGCAGGTCAATGGCAAATCCCTCCAAAATAACCAAAAAAAATACTACCGACTTATAGGCGAGTAAATACGGTAAAAGTTGACTATAGGATTTTAAAATGTCTTATATTTTTATGTACTAACCCAAGATTTTCAAACAAAATAAATGTTGGGGAAAAAAATCTATGTTTTTGATGTAATTGTGAGTTAAAATACAGTCAAACCTTATTATCTTGAACTCAATGGGACCGAGAAAAATTTTTCGAAAATAGATATCGGAGGATTTGAAATATCCAGGATAAAAATGCTTAAAGAGTAAGAAGTTGGAATTTCAAAATCACTTCTACATATCCATGGTATTCGAGATATCCATGTTTCAGATTCCGAAGTTCAACTGTATATAAAATATGTACTTATAGTATTTTTGCATGAAACACAGGACAGGCAAGTAAGGGGGAGGGGGGCTTATTTTCCCAAGAATTTTTTTCAGTGTCAATAAAGTTTGCAAATTTTTATCTAAGGTCCCCCAACTCCACTGTTTCAGAGTGTAACACCCCATTCTGAAATAGGTTTTTGCGAGTTCAGAGTTTCAGGCTTTTTTTTTTTTTTTGGTATAGTCCCCACTTTGAAAATTGAAGTTTTTTCCTTTAGGAACGAAGGAAAATGAGCATAATTCTGCTTCCTTCAAGGTTTTCAGTCATTAATAACAAGTTATATTGTTTCAGGTTTTAATTTAACATCTTCATTAATACAAACAAATAAATATTCTTGAATATCAATGTGCAAATTAAAATTGAAATATAATTTAGTTACAAATTATCAATGTTATATGGAGGAGTCAACTAGTATCAGAGTCTTGGTTATGAGTTGATTTTTGCCTTTTCTTTATGAGTTGACATATAGGGTTCGAGTTGACTTGCTTCCAAGTTGGTCAGGTTATGTGTTGACCAGAAACCTGGGAAAGGAATGGCATGAAATGCAAGAGAGAAGTCAGAAGGGGACAAATTATGACAGACCAAAACTTGGCTAGTTTGGGGCCCAGAAATGTGCATTGGTGCTTTAATATTTTTGAGTTATTTCGCTGCAAATACTATGACTTACTGCAGGTTGCACTGGTTTTAAACACGTTTAATTCTTTCAATTAAACTGGCGTACTGGTTGGCGGCACGTCAATTTACCCAAATGGACCCAAATTGAACACAAATGGACCCAAATGGACACAAATGGACCCAAATGGAACCCAAATGAACCAAATGGAAATCAAAATGGACCCAAATGGAAATCAAATGGACCCAAATGGAAATCGAATGCAATATTAAATATATATATTATCGTATTATCAAGTTGTTACAATACTTATTTAAAATGATGAAAATAATGAACTTACAAATGGAGAATATTAATAAATTATTCATTTCTAATATTGTATTTTAAATACGAATGAATTTTCTTTAGTATTATATATATATATTTGCAAAATTATGGGGGGGGGGGGGGCACAGGCCCCGTGCTACCCCCCCCCCCCACCCCCCGGTTCCTACGGTCATGGAAACTTTATAAATTTTAAAATGAAATACTTCAATTTTATATTCAATGATATGGAATAGTTATTACAAATAGAAAAAAAATTAATTCCATATTTTAAAATACAATATTAGAAATGAATAATTTTATATTCTCCATTTGCAAGTTCATTATTTTCAACATTTTAAATAAGTAACAACTTGAGAATACGATAATATATGTTTATATGTTTAATATTCCATTTGGGTCCATTTGATTTCCATTTGGGTCCATTTGGGTTTCCATTTGGGTCCATTTGGTTCCATTTGGGTTCCATTTGGGTCCATTTGGGTAAATCGACGCACCCCTGGTTGGTTGTAAATTTAACAGAGAAAATTCAAGTTAATAGCGTGTTTATATATTACCTCATGCCTCTACAGTCCGACCTGTGTTTACAGAATCTGAAGGTTATTCTCATAAGCTGACAAACATATCGACCCACTCCATTCTGTCCAATATTAATTAGTCTTGTCGGTGGTAGAGAATTGTACGACATTTTTCGTCCGAACTTTCATCCGGATTTCAAATATCCCAACATATGCAGTTCAAAATTTATAGTACTTCTTATTACTACGCATCAGCTGGAACGATATATGTATAAAGAAAAAAATTAAAAAATGTTCTTTAAGGTTCTTAATTCCACGTCTTTATTGTCAACGTAAGGCCATTTTTAATAAGAAAGTTTAGATAACTACATTAAAGGGTAATTATATTGCGGAATGATTTCTTATTTTAAGAAGTTGCAAGGCACTTCCGGTTTATATATTACACGTTTGACAAGTGAGAGAAGAATGATTTCTTGCATAATTAAAATGTTTGACGATGTCAACTTGCAAAGATGAAGACGAAAATAGTTTAGAAACCGGCGATCTTGGTCTTGGATTTGGGTTAAAACCAGGATCTCTTCCCATCTTAGATGCATTGCGTACAAATAAAATTGATAGTAGAAAGCACCAAAAGGAAACTATAGATTTTTCAGCAATAGCAGCTAAACCATTGGTCCCAACAAACCAGAGTCAATATTCAAGAATTGAAAAACTGCGTGGTAAAAACAGAATTTCAAAAGTCGACATTGGTGGAAAAAGAAGTTCCTGTCCAAATACTAGTAAAATGAATTTTGGAAAGAATCAGGAGGAAGATTGTACAACAGAAGTAAAAGGTCTATAATTATTACAGATTATTGTTGTTCACTTGAGTATTCAAACCAATTAATATTAATCAATTAACGTAATATTTCTCGTTGGATGACATGGGATCATTAACTTCAGCATCCTGATTCACATTTTAAAAAATATGCTTTACTGTGTGACCATTTGGTTTACACGGTTTACACTTGTAACTTGATCCGCTTCTTCGAACTTCAAACCACATGAGACACAGTCTAGACTGTGACATCACATGATGTTGTATGTTTGTTATATTTCCAGAATGGAGGCTAAATAGTGCAATTTTTTAACCAAAGGCATTGTAGAACAGATACAATTATTTTTTGTTTCTTTTAACCTCTCTAAAAGAACTAAATCTTCATCATAATTACAGGACTGTTATATTTGCGGAAATTGCTATTATCACATGAAATCATGGCAGCAAAAGAATTCTGGAAAGGTTTCACACAAAAATTTGCCTGACAAATGTGCAGATTTCATTTCAATTTTTCTATGTTCTTGCACATTAGCCTATATTCAGTGCTTGCTATGACATGTTACAACACTGAATGCTGTTGTTGTTTTACTGAAGTGTCAGAAATACTTCAAATATTTTTTTCTTGTCTGTAGCTCAAATAAATATGTATTCTTGTTTCCTAAATTGTAATATTTCATTTTAGAAACTCCCACAGTAAATAGAGATGACTTTTTGAAAAAGTTAATGGAAGCTGAGCAGGTAATTTGGTCTGGAGATAATATGCTCTACTGACCAAAGACTATAGAAAAGCTTACAATGTATGTGATGGTAAAATGTCTGTTGTTCATCCATCTGTTTGTATGTATAATCAATATTTCAAAATGCTACTCCTCTTACAGTTTTGGTCCAATTTCAATAAAACTTTGCATATAAGTTGTAGTCCATAATTCTATTTGTCATTTTTGTTTTATTTCAATGAATGATACTGTCAAGGATGCTAAAATACAAATTTCTTTGGAATTTCCTCAAAAGCCTTTTCCTCCTACAGGTTTTGCACATTTAAATTCAATAAAACTTTGTATGTTTTAAGTTCAAGTGCAACCTTTCTCCTCCAATATTATAAGCAAACCAGATGAGCTGCAACTTCAATAGACTTTTGGTTTTTAATTGAAACAAAATCACAGACTTTTTTATTTAAGACTTAAGCTACAAAAGAGATACAATTTTAATGGAGGGTTGGAGGTTATTGTACTATTATATACAGGGGATTCAAAAGAGATTAGAGTTTTGTTTTGTTTTGGGTTTTTTTTCCTGAACATGACATGTACATAATATATTGACACCATATATTTTTTCTGTCTCTCAGGAAGTTGAAGAGCTTAAAACAGAACTAGAAGTTTATGAAAAGAGACTGGAATCCAAGTACAGAGCTATCGCAATCTTGAGGAAACAGGTTCATTTTGCTTTACTCAAAGTTACAATTAAATTGTTCTTTTTTTGTTTTTGTTTTTGTTTTTTTTTTGTTAAGTAGGTAAATTTATCAGATCTGTCATTTATTCTTGTGAGATATATGTATAGATGTGTTTATTGTCAGTTTATCCTCTCTACTAGATTTATTCAAGTGAAGAGAGTATTGATGCTTGTGAAAAGAAAAGCAGGCAGTATGAAGAGACCCTAGAAAGAGTGAGTTGTATTTGACTATATGACAGATAATGATGTAAGGTAAAACAGTATCATGAAGAAACAGGAAGATGGCAGACCTGAGATATTTAAATTCAAAATATTGTCATGGATCCTTAATATTCAACACATCAGTGTTTGAGATATTCAAATATAGATGTACATGTATTTAAAGTCAGATGTTGTGTCTTTATTACTTTGTAATAGAGTCATTACCTGCATGCCAATGCTAAAATGAAAATAAAATCTAAAATTCATATATCAATGTAATTTAGGAAGTGAACACACTAAATTTCGAGTTGGGAAAAAGGGAGACAACTTTTGAAAATAGTCAGCAGATGTGGGCAGTAAGATTTGACAGGTTGGTAAGAAAATTAATGTGTGAATGAATTGATGTGATTAGTGTGTCCCAGCTAAAGTGACTTTTTCTGTCTTTATGCATGTATGCATCTGATTGTAAACTGTAGGAAAAACTAATAGATTATGTTTAATTGTTTTTTTTTAGTATTTGTAAAGAGAATGTCTCTTTAACAGCTGAACTTGATCACAAATCTTTAGAATTGAGGGAAATAAAGGCTCAAAAAATGGGTAAGAAATTATGTTTCACAAAGTTACTGTATACAGGGTTATTATTGCACTATCACACTTGCAAACAATTTCTCCCCTTTTCAATTCACCTAGACTTAACTTAAGTGAAAAAAGAGATAATAAGGCACTGTTGAATTTGTCCCACTTTCAGTTAGCCCACTGACAAGGAGGGTAAAGGGATGAAAATAAAACATGGGTGAACTTTTCTTTGTATACTGTATGAGTTCATACTTGTACAGTCAAACCTCGTAATCTTGAACTCAATTGGACCGAGAAAAAAACAGAGAGAAATCCAAGGGTTCAAGATATTCAGGGTAAAATACTTAAAGAATAAGGGGTTGGGACTTCCTAATCACTTTGACATATCCATGGTATTCAAGATGTCAGTGTTTGAGATACTGAAGTTCACCTGTTTATATTTACATTTCCAATAAATTTCCCCTATGATTCTTTACAAAATAGAGTACAGTTCATTTTCTCATGAACTACCATGAATGGGCATGAATATCTCCATTGTTACGTCATAATACCTTACTTGACGTCAAAACTATAGTGCAAACTGTTTTGCTTTAAAAATGACAAATCATCAGAAAAATAATGTAAATATAAGAAATGAATTTAATTTTTGAAAATTCATGAGGTACATGAACTGCAACGATTCACGCCGGCATAGTTATCATGAAGCGCTAAAGCGCTTCATGAAGTATGCCGACGTGAAGCGTCGTATTTCATGTCCTCATGAATCTTCAAAAATTAAATTCATTTCTTAAATAAAATGCTTCATTCTGAATCTTTTTCCTTTCTGTTTGAAGCATTGAGCAGAGAGCGTGATGAGTTGTTGGCCTTATTAGACGTGAAGGAGAGAGGACGTTATATGAGGTCACGCAGCATGTCAGATGATGAGGCTTACAGCGAGTATAGCTCTACTGAGGTCTGTAAATGACCTTTATCCTGTGTTTGATAACTTATAGATGTAATATATCAATTTTATTGAATGTTTGATAACTTATAGATGTAATATATCAATTTTATTGAATGTTTGATAATTTATAGATGTAATATATCAATTTTATGGAGACGAATCTTAACAAATTTTAGATTTTGTAAATCCATGCATAGTAACCAAGGAAGTGGATGGTTCATCTTTTTGAGAATTTTCATTTTCAATTCTAACATTTAAAGATGAATCATTTTCTTCAGCTGGCAGTTCTAGGAGCTTGTAAATGTAGAGTTACCTCCCCTGAGCCCTGCGGTTGTGCACACGCTGCTGCAGCCTTGAGAAGAGAACTGTGTAAACTAAAGGAACAGGTAAACATTGAATACAGACACTATCAAACTGTATAACAGCAAACATTGAATACAGACACTATCAAACTGTATAACAACAAACATTGAATACAGACACTGTCAAACTGTATAACAACAAACATTGAATACAGACTGTGTCAAAGTATATAACAACAAACATTGAATACAGACTCTGTCAAACTGTATAACAACAAACATTGAATACAGACTCTGTCAAACTGTATAACAAACACTGAATACAGACACTGTCAAACTGTATAATAACAAACATTGAATACAGACACTGTCAAACTGTATAACAGCAAACATTGAATACAGACACTGTCAAACTGTATAACAACAAACATTGAATACAGACACTATCAAACTGTATAACAACAAACATTGAATACAGACACTATCAAACTGTATAACAACAAACATTGAATACAGACACTGTCAAACTGTATAACAACAAACATTGAATACAGACTCTGTCAAACTGTATAACAACAAACATTGAATACAGACTCTGTCAAACTGTATAACAACAAACATTGAATACAGACTCTGTCAAACTGTATAACAAACACTGAATACAGACACTGTCAAACTGTATAATAACAAACATTGAATACAGACACTGTCAAACTGTATAATACAGACACTGTCAAACTGTATAACAACAAACATTGAATACAGACACTGTCAAACTGTATAATACAGACACTGTCAAACTGTATAACAACAAACATTGAATACAGACTCTGTCAAACTGTATAACAACAAACATTAATTTAAACATATTTTATTGAGTAATTCAATAAGGATTGGGCAACAGGCAAGGCCTATGCACACCCTCTCCTTGTATAATAGGTCAAGACATAGACATTGAATAATAATACTTGAACATGGTAATAAACTTGCTAATAATACAAAATAAAGATTCATAATCAAGTATTATTCATCAGTATCATAAAAAAAGAATGATAACCCCCTAATTGTATACAAATTATTTACATACTGTTCCAGCTTTCATATGAATATTGTAAAAATAATATATATATATATACATTCAACAGAGTATTTAATATTATAGTGTACTCAACTAAGTCTCTTAGTAGATTTTATAAATTCATGTACATATGAAAATATTTTACAATTTGTTTGATAGGAATATTGACTTTTGCCTCTTAACAGAGTGTCGAGTTCAAAGACAACATCAATATCATTTAATTTTTTTACCAGTAAATTTCTTTGAACAATATATGATGGACATTTGATAAAGTAATGTTCAGTATCCTCTGTATAAAATCCACATTTTTGACATGATGGTACGTCTGATAAAAAATGATTTTTTAAATGTGCATTGAGATTGCTAGCATTGTTTCGCAACTGACAATGTAAGATATTCTCTTTTCTATTACCAAAGTTAAAGTACCTACATGGTTTATTAGTTACTCCCCAACTTTTAAGCTTTGCTTTAAAGATAGATAATGATGAAGAGTTTTTGATATCCTCACTAAGACTATTCCAAAGTTTTATAGTTGAGGGAATAAAACTATTATAGTAAGACATTGTTTTACAAACTGGTATACACAAGTTATTACATCCAGACCTTAGGTTGTATGCATGTGGAACTGGAAAAAAAGGTTGAATCAATTCATACAAATAATCAGGTGCAGAACCATTAATCATTTTATACATCAATATAAGTTTGTGTTTTTCTCTTCTAAGATATAATGGTTCCCATCCTAGTTCATCATACAAGCAAGTTCTGGAAGAATTAACTCTTAGTCCAGTAATAATTCTGGCAGCTTCTATCTGAACTTTTTCAAGCAATTCTGCATTACTTTGGGTACAATTATCCCACACAATATCTGCATATTCTAAAATTGGTCTTATGAAAGCAAAATAAATTTTTATTAGTGAATTTCTATCTATACTATGTTTCAATAACCTAAGTATATTCAATCTTTTACATGCCTTTTCATATATATTAGACATATGATTATTCCAAGAACCATCTGCCTGAAATTGTATCCCTATGACAACAAACATTGAATACAGACACTGTCAAACTGTATAATACAGACACTGTCAAACTGTATAACAACAAACATTGAATACAGACACTGTCAAACTGTATAATACAGACACTGTCAAACTGTATAACAACAAACATTGAATACAGACTCTGTCAAACTGTATAACAACAAACATTGAATACAGACACTGTCAAACTGTATAATACAGACACTGTCAAACTGTATAACAACGAACATTGAATACAGACACTGTCAAACTGTATAATACAGACACTGTCAAACTGTATAACAACAAACATTGAATACAGACTCTGTCAAACTGTATAACAACAAACATTGAATACGGACACTGTCAAACTGTATAATACAGACACTGTCAAACTGTATAACAACAAACATTGAATACAGACTCTGTCAAACTGAATAACAGCAAACATTGAATACAGACACTGTCAAACTGTATAATACAGACACTGTCAAACTGTATAACAACAAACATTAAATACAGACACTGTAAAACTGAATAGCAACAAACATTGGATACAGACCCTATCAAACTGAATAACAACAAACATTGAATACAGACCCTATCAAACTGAATAACAGCAAACATTGAATACAGACCCTGTCAAACTGAATAACAGCAAACATTGAATACAGACCCTGTCAAACTGAACAACAACAAACTTTGAATACAGACACTGTCAAACTGAATAACAACAAACATTGAATACAGACACTGTCAAACTGTATAACAGCAAACATTGAATACAGACACTGTCAAACTGAATAACAGCGAACATTGAATACAGACTCTGTCAAACTGTATAACAACAAACATTGAATACAGACACTGTCAAACTGAATAACAACAAACATTGAATACAGACACTGTCAAACTGAATAACAACAAACATTGAATACAGACACTGTCAAACTGAATAACAGCGAACATCGAATACAGACTCTGTCAAACTGTATAACAACAAACATTGAGTACAGACACTGTCAAACTGTATAACAACAAACATTGAATACAGACACTGTCAAACTGTATAACAACAAATGTTGAATACAGACCCTGTCAAACTGAATAACAGCAAACATTGAATACAGACACTGTCAAACTGAACAATCATTTTGAGAGTATTGCATTAGCAATACTAGTCCCCTACCGGCAAGTGTAATCTGGTTCCCGCTAAAAATTGAAAATGCCATAATTCCGTCAAAAATCATTGAAGTGGAACGAAATGCAAACTTGATCTTTAAGTAATCAAGGTAAAGTCACATACCAAAAATCAGCTCAATATCTCCAAGCGTTTAGAAAAAATCGCGGAAAACCCTTAAAAATTGAAAAGATCATAATTCCGTCAAAAATCAATGAAGCGGAATGAAATGCAAACTTGATCTGTAACTCATTAAGATACACTCACATACCAAAAATCAGCTCAATATCTGCAAGCGTTTAGGAAAAAAGTGCAGAAAACCAAGTGGGACAGACTGACAGATAAACAGAGGGACAGACAGACAGACGGACAGACAGACCGACAGACGGACGGACAGACTTAGAGGAAACCTATAGTCCCCTCCGGTTTCACCGGTAGGGGACTAATAACAACAAACACTGAATACAGACTGTGTCAAACTGAATAACAACAAACATTGAATACAGACCCTGTCAAACTGTATAACAACAAACACTGAATACAGACTCTGTCAAACTGTATAACAACAAACACTGAATACAGACTCTGTCAAACTGAATAACAACAAACACTGAATACAGACACTGTCAAACTGAATAACAGCAAACATTGAATACAGACACTGTCAAACTGAATAACAGCGAACATTGAATACAGACACTGTCAAACTGAATAACAACAAACATTGAATACAGACACTGTCAAACTGAATAACAGCAAACATTGAATACAGACCCTGTCAAACTGAATAACAACAAACATTGAATACAGACTCTGTCAAACTGAATAACAGCAAACACTGAATACAGACACTGTCAAACTGAATAACAGCAAACATTGAATACAGACCCTGTCAAACTGAATAGCAACAAACATTGAATACAGACTCTGTCAAACTGAATAACAGCAAACACTGAATACAGACACTGTCAAACTGAATAACAACAAACACTTTTTGCTCAAAATAAAATGATTTGAAATGCTTTCAAAATACTAATCCACCTTCAGCTTGGTTTTAGATTAACAAAAATTTGAGGAGATTTCTTTTATTCAGTATCTATTTTACTTATTTATCTCAGTTTGGTAGTATTATCTGATAGATATCTTGTGGTATCATCTTCTTTGTGAAAACATTCAATAATTTAAAATAGAAGTAGGCACCACATGTTTGGCAGACATATTTTTTTTGTCCTTAATGTCAAGGGAAAATATAATGACCTTGACCTTGTTGCTAAAATTAGATGGTCAAATTTAACTTAATTGATACCATCAATTAGTTATATTGTTCTCTCGAATAGTTGAAAATTTCTTAAGATTTTTTAAATAAACAAAAAGAGAAGAATCTGTCCTTAAATACTATTTCTTTTGTAGTATGAAACTCAGTTAAAGAGAAGAGATGAAGCTGCGCAGACAGTAGATGCTTACAGGTCAGCATTCGAGGAACAGCTCTATAAAAACAAACAACTTATGTTACAGTTGGCTGAACTAGCAATTACTGGACCATCAAAATATGAAAAGGCAAAGGTCATTCTCAAAAATCTTATCCACCTTTTGAATGATGGTAAGTTTTTTTTTTTCTTCTTACACAAAATACAAGTAAATTCTATGTTTTAAATCAACCTGAGCTAAAGTCTTATTGAGCTTTTCTGATCAAAGAGTGTTCGGCATCTCTCTGTTTGTTTTATGTCCATTTTGTGACAGTAAACTTCCATTTTTCAACTTCTTTTCCAGAACCATTAGTTGATTTCAAACAAACTTGCCGAAAAGCATCTTTGGGTAAAGGAGATTTAAATTTGTTCATATAAGGAGTAGTACTCTCTTTCTAGGAGAGATATATAAGAAATAGAGAAAAATATATTGGTTCCATTTAAAATTTTTCTCTATCCACTTGGCCAGAAAAGCCAAAACTAACATGTATGTGAAAGCTTCTTTAAAGACTATGATATCAATTCTGTTCAAAGGATGTCCACATGACTAAAATGAGGTTCTACTCCTGACAAACCATTATACATGTATATACATATATTTTTTATGCCGCAACATGAATATGGCCGAGGCATACAGTGTTTGTCATGTCTGTCTTCCATCCTTCTGTTCTTCCATCACACCTTGGGTTTAGCTCAATTTCAAAGAAACTATTCAGGATATTTTTATCAAACTTTATATGCTAATACATATTGATGAGAGCTATTCAAGTGCATCAACTTTTTTTTTTTACCCTGACCTATCCTTTGACCTTGACCTAACTCTTTTAAATTAGTGATTATCTCAATTTCAAAGAAACTATTCATACACTGTTCATTACTTATGAACCCTGGGCAGGGCATTCATGTCCTATGGACAAGAGATGTGATTGGAGTAGATTGATATTGCTTTACCAATTATTTAGCTTTTGAAATAATTCTGAATTAAAATGACATATAATAGTATACATTATGGAAAAACATTGTAATTTTTTTTTTATCAGAAGACTACCTGTTTGAAATAATTACACGTTTGAGCTATAAGAATTATTTTTTTTATCAGATGACTACCTTTGTGAAATAACCAACCAGAGGCAGAATGTCTACAGTATTAATGGAAATTCAAAGCCCGGAAAGATAGAGGTGGACAGTCAGTCAGAACCAGTTATGACTGATAAAGACTTAGTTATGGCACTTACAGAGATAGTAAGTAATACCAAACTGCTTTTTACAATACAATCGAGACCCAGAATCTATGTTGAGTTTAAAACCTCATTTACTCAATAACTGTGAAAATTGAATTCTTATTTACATTTGAAAACTCACAGTTAATCAATGTGAACAACAAACTAAATTGCAGAAAAAAAGACTTAGGTTCTTTTGTAAAATTTAGGTCAATCCCTCCAACATGTTCATTTTAGTTCACAATATCAAAGTTTTAAAATTAAACTTTCCCGGAATACATAATAGAGTGGATTTGTGGTAATTATCAGGTAATTGCTACAGTAAAACTTGGTTTTAGCGAAGTACTGGGGACCTTTGAATTTGTTTTGCTATATACGTAATTCCTTATGTCCGTATAACGAATTCACAAATGTTTTCCTTTATGTGTGACTGCTGACTATGTTCAGGGAAGTATTAAATATCAAAAAATATCTTGGAGCACTAAACATTTTAGATAAATTTAATTTCAAACATAAATACTTATAAAAAAAAAAAAATAATGCCAATTCAATACTTTAAATTTTGGGATCTTAAAAAATCATTATAAGAGATGTATATTGCGTTCTTTTTTACTTTTACGGGATACAAAATCAATTCACTATATCTGTAAATTCATTATATCCGTGTTCGTTATAACCGTAGAATTTTTCATTGATTTGCTAAGAATTTTTCTGGGGATCTTGGAAAACTTCATTTGATTCATACATTCGCTATATCCGTGTTCGTAGTAAACAAGTTTTACTGTATATCTTAATTACTTCCTTGTTAATGGCAGAGAAAGAAACTTTTCGGGGGGGGGGGGGGGGGGGGGGGGGGGGAAGGGGGGTATCCTGGGAAAATAGAATTAATTGCAAGATATTGTTGTACATGTGCATGAATGAATTTCCATGATTTTGTAGTTTCCACTGAAATGAAGGTTTACTTTTTTAGTTACACCAAAGAAATGAAGCATTCGCCCACAAGAAGCTTGCTGCTCAGGTGCTGAGTGACCGAGTAAAAGAACTGGAGACTCAGCTCAGTAATTATCAGGGGGAGGAACATGAAGAAACATTTTCCTGATCATTGAAAGTCAGAGATACAGAGCTAATTTCGCTGAAAAGATTAAGGTTCATTTATTTTAAGGCACCAGTGTGAAGGTCAACAAACAAGATGTTTGAAAGGGGGGGTCGTTTTTTTTTTTTCAACTAGAAAGTCGAAAGACTTGTACATGTATATGCACATACATGTATATCATGCAGTTATATTTTTCTTAGTAAAAAGTTTTGAAGGAGATTGATAAGAGGAAAATTGCCCATTTTTTTCTCTCACTGAACCAAGAAACCAGTCTTACGTTCCAGAAGTTCCGGTTGGGTGATATTCATAAAAAGTACCATACAAAGATCTCAGTTTCTCACTTTTACAGATACTTTGAATGCAGATACTTTTTGTCATTATATACATATAAAGAAGATGATGAAATAAAAATTATTCAGATAATGGCTTTTGCACATATTAAATTGCACATCCACTGAAAACAATAAGTTCAGTCAAAGTTCATATCACTTGTTAAAAGCATTGCACATAATATTTTAACATGGCTGTGTGCTTATGAAGTTTGCTGTGATATTGCATAACAAATTTAAATTTGACATTTGACAGTTTTGAAATGGTGCAATTTATTTTTCATGGAAATTGTGTAGAATGACACATAAAAGTTACAATCCAGACCTTGGGTCATGCATAGTAAAACCTGATAGAAAGAAAAGAGATAGTTTTTATGAATATACATGTACGGTTGAATTTTGTTATCTCAAACAACAATAATTTGAATACTAGGGATATGTCGAAGTGAGATGGCAGTCCCAACCACTTATTCTTAATGTTTTTTTACCCCCGCTATTTTGAATTATTCAATATCTCTAAGTTAAATCTTGATCCCATTGAGTTTGAGAAAACCAGGTTTGACTGAAATGGTACATTTATCTGTTGTAAATGGTATGCATCAAATTGTTTCAAGGACAGTTAAATTACATGTATGTGTTGGTTTGTGCAGTATTTCATGAATCAAATTTGTTATAATAAGTACCACATATTTTGATATAAATCAAGCTTTTAAAAAAAAAAATTACATGTGAATATTTTATTTTCATTGTGTGCATTTCAATCATTATTTAAAAATCATGTATTTCATTATTTTTTTTTTAATATAAGAGTCCTATGTTTAAAAAGAAATCCTTTTTTTATTTTCTTTACCTGTATAAAACAATATATGGATATACATTTTATTAAAAATTCAGGCTTTTAAGTTTCTTGACATCATATTTAAGAATTCCAGAACAAATTTCATTATGCCATATGAATTGCAATATACATGTACATGTAAATGTACACATTTTTGTACTGTGTACATGATTTACTTTCTTATTTATATTAATGTCTTCCTTGCTGTGATATCACAGTGCCATTTATTTTAGTTCTCAAACATTCCTTGTCTGCATGCCTTGCCAGTGAAATATTTTATTGTAAATGTTGCTACCATTACCAATGGCATTCAGTTTTAAAGTATTGAGATACTGGGCTTTATTAGCTTAATTATATATGCATTTGAATGTTGTCTATTACATTCATTCACTTATTGTCTGTCCAGCATCTTATACTAATTTTTCAAAATATTACTTTTTCTGCAGTTTTTTATGCATATATGCATGTAAAATACAGTAAAAATGTAAATTACATGAAGGGTATTAAATTCAATATCTAGTTTTGTTTAATATTATTTTGAATTATCTTTAAAATGATGTTATTAAACCATGTTTAGTAGACTACAAGTACATGAGCATTCAAAGTTTTATTTTTTAATGTTTTATTTTTGATGAACATTGTGTCCGACAATTTTTTCTAAACCATATGCATATGCCACTTTGTGATATAATTTTAAATGCAAATGGCAGTTCTAAATGTAAATGCATTGCTTTGCATAGTGAGGCCAAATTATAAGCAAAAATATTATTAGCATATTATTTTTAAGTCCCTATCTCATCAGTTATTTACATTTATATTTCCAGTGTATTTTCCCTGTTTTTAATGTTTTAAACAAGAAATTCTAAAGATGATTCGGCCAGATTGCAAAGTACATTATGTATTTTCGATTTGATAAGATGAAAACTTTCTCACTGTGATCACTCCTAAATTACACACTAAGTAAAAAAAATTAGACAAAAGCATTCTCCTGCAAATCTTATATATCAAGCCCTTTTTGAAATATTGTATCTGTATGTGTTAAATTATGAGGATGATTTAATACCAGGTATCATAATCACAAAATTGTTCATGCAGACCTCATGAGTAGATTAAAAAACTTAAATTCAAAGAAAGAAGTTGCTTTGCAATCTTGCCAAAAATCAATATTTAAAAAAAATTAAAAGTCCAACAAAAGAAGTGGAACTTGTTACACTTCTTATTGCAACTCTAGTGTGTATTCATCAAGTTTGAAATTTAATGTTTTGTTATTATCATGCATATGTACATTAATGTACATAAGATCCCATTAGATTTTAGTCCCTATTACTGGTGCCTATATTTCATATTGGGAAAATTTGTCACAAATTACTCATTGATAGATGCAATGTTGTAAAGTTTGATGTTGTTGTTTGTTTACGTGCAATACATATATCTTTGTTATTTATCTACATAGATATATATATATATATATATATATATATATATATATATATATATATATATATATATATATATATATATATCTATCTATCTATCTATACTCTAGATGAGTGCAGCACAGTGAAATCCCAAGTTTTACAGCCATTGTTTTGAAAAGGAATGTCCAGATATTCTAACAGATTTCAATCAATATTTTTACATAAATTCAGGTTTGCCATGAATTAAGCTTCAGTAAAGGGAATTTATTAACAAGGGGTAAGATGGAAGCATTTAGGAATCTCATTAACCTGGTGTCAGGGATTTAGTCTAGTCAGAGAATCTCAACAATTTAATAGTCTTTAGTGCAATTACTACTAAACACATCCATATATTAGACTGATGATTTAGTTACAAAACGTGGGTGTTACAACTTTTACCAAGACATAGTACATACTACTCAAAATAGGGTGGCTAAAAAGTGTTTGGGGTTCATAAAAACTTTTCATCAAAGATTTAACAAACAGTTTGAGAAAAACAAGAAAACCAAAACAAAAAAAAAGAAATGGCTCTCAAGTAGATTTAGGATCTCAAACCAATGGTTATGGTTCATGTACATTTTTTGTGAAGATTTTTTTATGTTAATGTTAATCTGTAATTGTTTTAAGTTACTAAATAAAACTTTTTGTATATACTAAATCGTTATTGTCTTATTTCACATCAATTTATCATATAATAAAATTTTATTCAGTGATGTGGAGGCTTAGAATTGTCGAATTTTATTAGTTTACTCACTTGAGTCCTTGTATTGTGTCAACCAAAGAGTAGGTCACAGTGACCTATTTTTTTGGAATTTCTAGGTTTTATCCAAATATTTAGGATACTAAGAGGCTTAGAATAGAAGTGAGGGGGTTGTATCATTTATCAGAAAAGCGATTCTAGGCCCTTGGGCCTCTTGTTGCTGTTTTTGTGGTAGAGTCAGATATGAAATTAGATGATCAGCAAACAAACAAAAATTTATTAATGAAATAGCTAAGGTAAGGTAGCTGTTCATGAATTTACATTTCAACAAAATATTTTGATCCCCATGAAAATCAATGAAACTGCATTTCTATATATAGCTTCTACTAGTTATAAGGAAGGAAGACATGGTTCCTATTATCTCTCCACCTTTTGGGGAGGAAATATTTTTTGGCTGTTCCTCTGTCATTCACAGAACAGAGACCCTTGATTGCAATGGATTCAACCTGTAGTGTGCTGTTGTCCTGACCTGTGGTAAAGAAGCATTTGTGCTTGAGTTTTATCTTAAGGTCAATGTTAATGGACAATAAAATGTTGAAAGTATGTCCAGAACTAAAGATTAAGCATCATTTTCTAATAGATAATGTAGTTGTAATAAACAGAAAAATCATGCATGTTTTTCAAATCAAGGTATGTAAGACATCACTTCCTGTCAAAATGTTTGGATGATAATCTTGTGATAGGCTAACCTAATGTTTTTCCTGCTCAGAGCTGGCTTCAACCATTGCAACCAAAGTTTACAGTGTTATTTGAGGTGTCTTTTGTGTCGTCACAATTGCCGCTGCATGTGCACTGACCCTTTGCTGAATATGGCTTCAAATCCAGTGAATATATATTGCTATCTTTGTATCTGTATGGAATTATATAGGGACTATAAAAAGATTATATAATAATATTTTATACTTACACATGTTAGGCATACAGTACCTACTTAGCTCAAGCATCAGTTGTTAAATCTAACAGATATTAACAAAAAAAGATCAAGCTCCAAGATTTATCAGTATTTATTGAAAAAAAAAATCTTACTGTTTTACATGTATGTACATGTATTTCATAAATAATGCAAATCACAATCTTTCAACAAAGTAAAAATTTCTCATACCACAACAACCCATTGTCTGTAATGCTGCAACAGCAAGTACCTGTACTATATTTATATGTACATGTATATAAGTCACAAAGTCTTCAATCTGTGTACACATCATATTTATAACATGTATTAATCCAAATTTAGGATACTGTAAATAACTTTTATTTTGAAGGATTCTATTTTTGAAAGGCAGTACCACTGGAAACATAATCTTCACATTTCATACAGCAATTAAGTACATGTATTACATTTTTCCCCTATTATATATTGACAAGAGTCTTATTTTCCCATGCACACAATTTTGTGAAAATAAAAAAATAAAATATTCTATACTATTAACTGTTTATCAACATTCTTCCTTCTAATGAGAAAACTGCAATATGCTTTATGTAGTTTGCAAAAATAAGTTGATAATTCAGGGGAATTTGCTGCAAAGTTTTGATTTATAAACACATTTTTTTAATAAGAGTGTTTACCTACAATTTGGAATTATTATCTCTGCAGCACTTAACAATAAAAATTAAATAATTTAAGCCCAGTTTTTCCCCTAACTATTTACAAGGACTATGCTAAAGAGATGAAAATCATGAAATAGTTTGAATTACTATCAAAATTAATTTACCAAGTGTATCATTTAAATCATGCTCAGCCAAACCTTTATCTTCAAATATACAGTGCCGATGACTTTCACCAAATATACAGTATAAACATTGAAGATTTTTAAATGCTGCCCTGATATCTTAAGACTAAAAAGAATGAATTTTTACCAAACTAAACTCACAGTGTCCTAATGGGACTGATACCTCCAACTGGGGTCCAATCAAATCATGTATATTCAGATGCACACCACAATGGCACATCCGGGCAAGTTTGGTTTGGATACCCCTGGAAATAAACTGGAAAATGGTCTAAGATGTGAGCTTACCCTAGAGCTGAACCTTGCATCTACAGATGGACAAGCAGATAGATAAACAGATGGACACAGTGATTCCAGTACCCCCCCCCCCCCATACCATTTCATAGTGGGGGTACAATAATTACCTAGTTATAAACATAACAAGCACCAAACATCTGCTTAAGGTGTATAAGACAATAATAAAACTATCAAAGATTTATATACAGTACAGTATACATAGAAGAACAAATCTTCACATAAATCAATTTCTGAGCTGTTTATCTTTACTCAGTCACACTAAAGATTACCAGTACAAATACACATATGCATGATATCATATGATCATGATACAAATATTCTCTAAATAGTCACAATAAATCTTATGATTAAAATGAAAATTTGACAACTCTGTTATTATTTCTTTGTTCTACAAATATTTTATTTTTTCTGAAGGATTACTCACAATATATTGTTATGTAATAGAAGTCTAAAAAAAAAATGTGACCTTATATTGCTTAGATACTTTTTGGAGAATTGGAAAAATTTTGTCTCAAGATATTTTGTGAAAAGGTACACAGGGCCTGGTTTTTCAACTGTGTGCTATATCAGTGATCTTAACGTACGCATTTTAACACTCTTGTTATTGGTTTTGCAAATTTTTTGTACCATGGTAGTTTATCTCTCAGAAGCCAAGGGTTTTGTTTCTTGTACACTGTATATTGGTTTCCTTAAACACACAAAATAATTTATAATGTAGCCATGATGTATTACTAGTTCAATGTTAAGTTTCCAGACTTGCGAGCTGCAGTTGTGGAGCAGTACACACATAGATGTAGATACAATAGTCAAAAAATGAAAATTTAAAAACAAAACTTGAAGTGAATATTAGTACAATAATAAATGGCGCATATAATGGCTGGGCTTTACCAATCTAATTAAAATTAGATCTTCAATCCACTTCCTCTTTCTTTTATGTTGACATAACAATAACAAGGAAGGGATTAAAAAAAACTTATTTTAATTACGTTATAGTTTTCCCTTTCCAAATCATTGTTTTTTGCACTATCAATTTCAATTGTCAAATTGCACAAATTTACATATCTGCTTTCAAGGTGTAATTAATTAAATAAATGAATACTGTAGATTACTAAATTTTCGTGACACCTTATTTTCACGAGATTGTTTGATATACATGTATAAGCGAAACAAAATTTTCATGAATTTTGGTTATTGCTCTATATAATCTTTAGTAGTAGAATTATACGCGAGAATGAAATTTTGTGTGCAGACGGTCTCACATAATTATATGAAAATAAAGTTCTCACGAATAAATAGTGATTTATAGAATCTAATTCTAATCTAAATAATGTTAATCACTGGCAGTCAGGAACCACTGATATTTTGTGAAAAACCGAAATTTACACTTGCACATGGTTGTTATTCTTCAATGCAAACATGACTTCTATTACAGGGATATGGAACTAAAAAAATAATATATGGAATAACATTTACACCAAAAACTCTTTCACAAAAAATAAGCCTAATTCATGATATTCCATCACATAAATTTTTAAATTCATTGCATTGTAGTACCTAACGTACCTGCATACAAATAAATAAATTATCTTGGTGAAATTAAATAATTTATCCACGTGGAAAATTAGCAAATATCTCAGCCATCAAAACCCACCACTCACTGGTCCATAAACATATTGTGGCCATGCATCTGAATAAATGGAATCAAAGAGGTTGGAACCTCAGTTTGGAATGGTATATTGTTCTTCATGATGACCTCAGAGGCCAGACACTGAAGACTTCTGTACTGGAGAGGAAAGACGGGCAATCCCGCTGTTTGTATCAAAGTCAGTGCACTCTGCCCATCACCGTTATAAACATCCACATGGGCCCCATTTCCAAGGAGACAGGCTAAGATCCCTTCATTCTGGAGCTCAGAGTACGTCAGGAACTTGATGCTGTTATGTAGTGCTGTGTTACGTTTGTGATCCACTGCATTGATATCAGCTCCACAGTCTATCAATATCTGTACCACAGCAAGAGAAGGAAATGGTGAGAAAAACTCTTCACTGGTCAAGGAAATTTTTGGATCCACAGATAGATGAAGCAGGCTCTCTCCCTCCTGACCCCGGGGGTTAGCAGACACCAGCTGGTGTACAATCCTCTTGAAGTTAAAACTTTCCTCCTCTGACTGAGGAAGCTGGGAAATCAAGTGAATCATATGGAGTGACAGCTGCAGCAGAAGCTGAAAATCCTCCACTAGGTGGCTCTCACCATTAAACTGGTCCCCCTTCTGGATGGCCATTGCTAGTTGGCCATCAATTATCTGCTCAGTCAGTTTGGCAAATACATCCAAAGCATCAGAAAATCTTACCTAAAAATTAAAGCAAACATTACATTACTTGTAAAACTGTACACATCTTATACCGAAAAATTAAAGCATGTCATAAAATTTTTAAGTTAATTGCAATGCATACATGTTCATAGATATTACAGACATAAACAGTACCTTTTCCTCTGTTGCATTGGACTCTAGTTCTACTTGCATCTCCCAGAAGAGTTTCACCAAGGCTTGAACTGTAAACAAACACTCCTGTTTAAGAGGGTCTCCTTTACTATGCCTCAACATATAGGCATACATCCAGAGATCCACGCAGCGCTGATAGCGATGGCTGTCAGCATACACTGCTCCACGGTACATCAATCCAAATGTCGTGTCCTTGTGGTTTGGTCCAAGAATCCGTTCTCTTATCAACAAGGCCTGCATGTAAACATCATCCGCCTCAGTTATTTTTTCCAGTTCTTGCAAGGTTTGAGGTTCTCTTGCATGCTGATATGCATAGATGGTGCCGGCTGGGATCTCCTTGGTGATTATATTCTGTGAATCTAGGAATCTCAAAGTCATGGCCTTCTTCCATATCTCAATGGCACCAGAAATATCATGAATCTCGTCCACAAGATTTGCTCCCAGAAGCTCCAGTGAATGGATAGCATCTCGAGGGGTCTGCTCTGTATTGTCCAATATGTACCTCACTATATTTGTGTATCCCCTTAGTGCTGCCGTTTGCAAAGCATCATCTCCAAATACATTCTTAGCCTTATAGTCTGACCCGTACTTTAACAGAAGCTTCACTGTTTCCAGCTGATCCTCCCTTATAGCATAATGTAGAGCTAGATTACCAGAGTTATCACGAGCGTTCACATCAGCACCTTTCTTTATTAGGTATTCACACAGAAATGGGTCTTGAACAGAGTTAATCAAACATGTTCCACCATTGACATTTGGTTTGTGAAGGTCAGCTCCATGATCAACAAGGAATTTGACAATGGAGATGTTGGTCATGTAACAGGCTGATCTCACAGGGGTTGACTGAGTATCAGATGGGCTGTTGATTTCTGCATTATGCAACACTAATGTCTTCACAACCTCAAGATGGTTTGCAACAGCTGAACACCAGAGTGGCGTAACGACATGGCGGGAATGATCTTGTTCTACCTCATATATCCCACGCTGTTCAATGTCAGCATGGCATTCATCTAAGAGATAATTAACTATATGAACAAGTCCTTTCAGACAGGCAGTAAACAAAGGGGCATTACCCATGATTTTATGGGAAACAATCCTCCTTCGCTGGTCTTTGTTGAATTTGCGGATGGTTGCTTTCAGTTTATTTAGTTTGTCCTCCTGAATACAGTTATGAACAATGGAGGCATACCATGACACATCCACGTCATCCGTCCTCACTGACGTACAACTCGACATCATTTTCTTACTCTATTGTAAACATGAAAAGTCCTCCCTGAAATACAGAAAATAGTAGATTTCAATTCGTGGTATTTATAACACAAAATTAAAAGGCGAAGAAGTTTATGAATCAACTTTATAATCAAAATAATTTTCATTCTCTTCCAAAGAAAATGGTTACAACTTTTCTTTTTAAGTTTCTGATTACTTCAGCGTAAATTTACACATAAAATATCTGCAGAGGAAAGAATGAATAAAGATAACATTCCTCCAAATCTTAGACAGCTAACCAATTCAATGTAAAATGTGATTCCAGAAACTAATTCCAGTAACTAAATTCATGTAACTGCTAAATACTTCTCTGTTTCATGGTAATTAAAGGACTACCAGTAGTACAAATGGCATCTCCCCTGAAAATTTTAAAATATACCCATTTTTCTAATAGGAGAAAGGCAAAGAAAAAAAACTTTCCTTGGTCATAATTGTTCTCACAAGATGGCTAAATCAGTTGCAAGTTAACTCTGCTGTATCATCCACTGTACTTCTGACATTGTGAACATTTTTCAACAACTCTTTGACCCAATATTCAGGGTGTGTTTAAACGAAAACTAGCAATTCTTTTACAGACCACCTTGAAACTATCTGAACACCTTATTATCACAGCATACAATAGGATTTGATGTAGGCAGGGACCTATATACTAACGGGATAGGCAACACTCGCAAGTCTCGCGATACCTCATAAGTTGCGGGATTTCGTAAGTCAATTTTAATTAAATATATCTCTTTTCTCTTTTGCTATCAAATATTTCAGAATAAAATCTTAATTTATCTATCAAAAAATTATTCAAGATTTGTTATAAGCACCGTTTTTACTCATCTTAGAAGTAATTACGTTTATTTAAAAATCAGAGCGTGCCCCTGATCGGCCGTATTCAGGGCTAGACAAATAGCATTGCCCGACGCCCGGGACAACCAATTTTGTTTAGTGGGCAAGTTATTTGATAAGTGGTGCCTGCCCGCGGACAAGTGCTTTTTCTCATTTACAAAAAAATCATATACTCAATATGTCTTTTGTGTTACCACTATTGAATACTCGGTCGGAACTTCTCTAGAATTTACCCATGAATGTGTTGTTAAAATAAACACAAGTCGTAAAACATGACACCTTCCGATGTCGTCAAAAAAGTTGAATTGGATTTTAGACTTTTTTTAATTGACAAAATATTAAATTCATTCTGTGAATATAGACGTGCTACTGTTATTAAAATTGGTTGTTGATTGGCAATCACATAGTCATGAAGTCGATATCTCAATCGGCATGCAGTAGTGTTCACAGATTTGTCTCGTTTGTGGGTTTTTTGAGATCATCTTCACCTTTTTCATTAAATTTATTCAAAGAAAGTATATGGAGTATCTTATTGAAGAATTTTGAGGAGAATAGAATGAAACTTTGACTTTACCAATGCCCTGAAAATATCGAAAGAAATCTGGGAGAATTTAGTGATTTTAGATCTAGGTTGATTCCCGTGTAGTGTCTCAGTTGAGAAATAATTTAATGTTAATGATTTTGTTTAAATTAAGAAACAGGTCGGACAAGCATATTTTTTGGTAGGACAAGTAATTTTATGATGGTAACCTGTCCGAGGGCAAGTAATGCAAAATTCTATTTGTCTACCCCTGCGTATTTCCGAGAAATCGCGGATTTTGGTGGTTGTTTACTTAATATCTAAATTATTTTATAATATGTGCTTTAAAATTTATTAAATATCCATTCCGATACACAAAAAGAACAGATTACATTAATCAGAAAACAAGCTTTTTACTGGGGAAAAAAGTAGTTTGAAAAACTTGCAGTGTTGTGTGTGCCGTTTTGGGTAAATAAACATGGCGCTGAAGGAGTTGCCTATTCCGTTACTGTATAGGTCCCTGATGTAGGTAAATGTTGTCCAACCAGGATATACTGTCTGGCATCATGTCTGGTATCATGCATCAAAGTACAGTTGAACGTCATTATCTCGAACTTCAATATCTTGAATGCCATGGAAATGTTAAAGTGAGTTATGGGCCCAACCACTTCTCCTTTACGTATTTTATCTTTGATATCTCGAATCATTGGATATCTCAACATTTTTCTTACCAGTCTGATTAGGTTTGAGATAACAAGGTTTGACTGTAATTTGCAAATGTTGCAATTTGCCCTTTACTTTGATCTCGAATATATTAAGTAATGCCACATTACGCTAGTGTTGTCATAATATTTGTTTACAATATTTATCCTAAACAACAATTTCAAATTTTATCCGAATTTTCTCTAAAAACATCTCTTTGATATATCTTCAATCTATTTCGTAAAGAATTTCTTCTTTTAAGAAAAAATCATTTGTACTATATAATCTTACAGATACGTCACAAGAACTGCATATGGGTGTCAACAGTTATTTTTGAAACATAAATTAAAATACTAACAATATATCCTTGCCTTTTTTCCCTTTTTCCTTCGTTGTCGATAGATGGCGCCTCAACATTACACCGATCCCGACATAAATACACGGTGTAAGTCCACAAGGCTACGACACTCACCTGTTTCCTATGAGTTGAATAAAAACGGTCTAATTAATTCAAACTAGCCCTCACTTTTTATATGCCTAAGGCATAACAAATAATAAAACGTAGGAGTTGATTTTAATTAGACTAGAATTTAAAAAATCAAAATGAAAGAAAGAAAAAAAAAAACATTTTAAAACAGATAACGAAATATGATAATGTAGTATTAAGTAATGCTTAATTTTATAGATTTATATGACGTTACGTATTTAAACAATAATGCTTTCTTCAGGTTAATTTGTTAGTATGGGAATTAATGCTGCAGTTGTTTCAGAAAAATACATAACCCACGTAAGCATGGTAAGCGGGTTATGTACATCTGCATTAAATAATCATATAAAGTAAGATTAAGTATGTTTAATATTGCATGATTGATATGTACTTCTTTATATGTTTTATTGATAAAGAGCCACTGCTCAATAAATCTATACTGGTGGCTTGCTTAGGTGACGACCATTTGGGGGCTGACAAATTTTTCAGAGTCAAATTATTTATTTTCATGTTGGTGAAGGACAGATTATTTATTTTTAAGAAAAAAAAGAAAGAAAGAAAATTGCCAAACTCTTAACTTCTATTTCCTGTGGATGGAGGGAGGGGAGGAGGAGGGGCAACAGTCGGATTTCAAAAAGGGGGGGAGAAAAAAAGAAAATTGCCAAACTCTAAACTTCTATTACCTTTGGGTGGGGGTGGGGGTGGGGGGGAAGAGGAGGGGCAACAGTCGAATTTCAAAAAAGGGGGGAGAAAGAAAGAAAATTGTCAAACTCTTAACTTCTATTTCCTGGGGGTGGGGAAGGGGAGGGGAGGAGGAGGGGCAACAGTCGGATTTCAAAAAAGGGGGGAAAGAAAGAAAATAAGAAAATTGCCAAACTCTAAACTTCTATTTCCTGGGGGGGGGGGGGGGAGGGGCAACAGTCGGATTTCAAAAAAGGGGGGAGAGAGAAAGAACATTGCCAAACTCTTAACTTCTATTTCCTGGGGGTGGGGAAGGGGAGGGAGAAGGAGGGGCAACAGTCGGATTTCATAAAACGGGGGGGGGGGGGGGAAGAAAATTGCCAAGCTCTAAACTTCTATTTCCTGGGGGGGGGAGAGGAGGGGCACCAGTCGGATTTTAAAAAACAGGGGGAAAAAAGAAGAAAAATTGCCAAACTCTAAACTTCTATCTCCGGGGAGGGGGGGGGGGGAGGAGAGGCAACAGTAAGGGACAGATTATTTTCTTGCCATTCTAGGACAGATTATTTATTTCCAACATTTTCGAGGACATATTATTTATTTCCAAAATCTGCCAGCACCCCCTCCCCTTCAGAATCAAATGGCTGCGTCCCCTTGGTGACATTAAAGTATAGATAAACAACCATGATTTTCATAAGAAATAAAGGAGATAATATTCAGTGGATATAAATATTAAGCCATATAAACACCAAACAATGGGACAAAGTGTCAGTAATCATGGTAATAGAACAAGAGGTCCATTAGTCTTGAGATCATGCGCCTGAGTATCACGGGGTTTTCAGGCGATGCTCACTTTGAGCTCTCCTAGAATTGGTTTACATCTGTGACTAAAATTTGACAGCTTAAAATTGTTATCATATCCATGCAGCTTGTCTTCTAGAAATTTTTGTTGAGGGTTTAATTAAGCTGCATCGTGCAAAAATATCTGCCCATGTGTAATGAAGATTTTCAACGATGTAATTTATATACTTCATTTCACCGGGATACCATAAATTTATGCAAATAACCCCACCACCTGTAGGTCCTAAACCATTGTCTAGGCCATGAATTTTCTAATTTTTGTTGAGGGCTAAGTATTAATTATAATCATACCAACAGTATGTTTACTAGATGTTCTATGAGTAAAGAAGGTACATATTTTCAAGTGTTTTGTAATTTATATAATCCAAACATATGTACATGTAACGAACTTAATCCAGTCCTGGGACTTAATGCTAGAACCAGGACATATGAATTTTGCAATTTACCGGTACTAGAGTAAACATAATAAAGAAAACATTTTGCTAGATGCCCAAGAGTAAAGAAGATTTTATAAATTATAATGCATTTTCTGTATACAAGGAGATTTCGCATCTGTTTTATTTTCGCCCCTTTCGCTCTACACACGTGGACGAATTTAAGATGGGGCGAATTCAAAGAAGACAGTATAATTTCTTATACAGAACTTTGACTGGGCGAATTTAAAACGGGGCAAAATTGTTTGCAAGTATGAAAGGACAAAAATAACCCTGTATACAGTATATGACCTATATTGCCCCACCCTGTATCCATGAGTCATGAATTTCAAAATTATATGTTTGCCTGCCAGATGTTCAGGCGTAAAGAAGATGTTCAAAACTAGCATTGATTTTGATGGTTTTGGCCTCACCCCTCAGGCCCCTTGAAGGATTCAGAATTTTTGTTCCCCTGGAGACGACCAGACTCTTGCATTAACACTGTACTATATGGAAGTCTGTTTACTAAGTTCAGCATTTACCATAGGGATTGCTGAAATTTTTAAAGCTTCAAAAGTTTCTTGAAATGAGTAATTACATATATAACACTGCACGCAGTGGTACACTTGTACGTTGATTTGAAATTTTTTAATAAAAAATTAACCTCTCACATTGATTTTTCGTCAATATTTTGTACAGTTTTTTGATTAACAATGTACAGTATTTTCACCCAAATTCCAGTATTTTGAAGACTCTTGTACAGTATTTGGGTCTAAAAATTATCACATGTATGTGCCACATACTTGTATCAAACTTGCTTGAAATTGGTTCTGCCTTTTAAAAGGAGTATGATAATGCAGAATGAAAGATGAATGTGGCATAAATAAATCAGATTCATAATTAATTTCATTATTAGCAGGGAATCATCCTAATATTCAATTAGTCACTCTTGTTTGAAGAAAAAAGATAAACAGGCTGTGCATTTAATAGTTTTATTTGTTTCACAAACAACAATATAATGACAGAGGCATAACTGTACTTTGTACAACTTTTGTACAAACTCACAGAATATATATCACAATCTGATCACACTCATATTGAAACAGAAGTCATAAAATTTTTCTACCGCAAATACAAGCATTATTCTATAAAGTTTTACTCAAACATTTAATTTGCAAATGCGAGCATTCACAATATCCAGATCTTTTATGAAAGTTTATATGTGATTCAGCAGCTTTTGATCACACATCTCCTGATATTCTCATTCTTGAGGCTTTGTACTGTATGGATAAAATTTATCATTTTGGGATCGGAAGTCGACGGAACTCATGAGTCAGCCAGATGGCGATACTGAGTAAAATAAGAGACCCTGACTGATGAGTAGCGGCCAGGGGGGTGGGGACGTATGTCAGTAGGGTAGAGATACCCAGGGACGCCTGAAAAATAAAAGACCATAGATATTAAGAAAATGTATTTGTGAACCACAATAAATGTACTGCTGTTGATTGCCAATTTCTAACCTCTTTTCATCTGAATTAACCATATTAACTCCTGAACATTGTGTACTTTCAGACTTGAGACTTATCTTTTAAACATTTAAGCAAATATCAAAAGTATTTAGTTAGATCCTTTGATCCCATCACACACATTGTACATTACTACTCACAGAATCTAACAACATTCCTTTGACTTCATCTCAGACTTTCTTCTAGCTAGTCAGCATATTGCTTTCAAAACCATCAGTGTGACTCTCACAGAGCATTAGGCAAACCAAAATAACCCATTGGAAATGATATGAAATAATTCCTAAAGACTTTGCACTCTGTCATATTGTGTGATTTCGATCTAATTTTTTAAGACAATATTAAACAAGCTGAACAAGTGTTTATGTGAGAGTGATTCTCATTCCTTATTTATGATGTAATTGATAATATAAAATGTGTATTTACAGAAACGGTCAACCTCAAAGTTTTTTCTCGGTCCCACCTAGTTCAAGATGACAAGGTTTGACTGTAATTCTAATTAGAATGGAGTTGAAAGTTTCTTGCAGAGTACACATAGTAGATTATCAGAAGTGAGTTTATTGTTTGTTATTAATTACTAATTCACCTGTATAATGCCCATTCCTAGGAGGGCATTCACAGCCATTCTCATTCTAGGTGGCAGTGGAGCATTCCTACACATGTACCAGAAAATACCAATCAACACCACTGTACTCTCTGCCTAAAAATAATACAGAAATGTGATTGAAAAAACTACAACATCCACTATCTTAGATTCCTTAATACACTTTCATATTACTTGGGTTAGATACATGTATTTTCTTTTCCTGAAGTTGAATACACTTTTACATTCTATCAAGAAAACATATGTCATTATACATGTATAAAAGACTTTTTATGTCACAAATATTTGAAATATGTTGTGTATGGTCAGGAAATTAATCATACAAAATGTGTATTCCTTTGAAATAACATCTGTGTCACACACTACAAATCTTACCAGATGCCTATGGTCAAATTGTACTGTTGTAGGGTTTTCAAAGAAATTTTTCCATGTAGGAGATATTGCGAGGAGATCACTAGGAATCCACCTGTCAGCCATTTTTGGCCAGGAGTTGTAAGTAAGTCCAGCATCCAGCCCAGCAACAAAGGCACCTACAATCGCAAATCTCTGTTAGACATGAATATACAAGCCTACTTTTCTACAACTTGAGTACATTCTCCTTTTGAAAAAGAGGGATAAGCCAAGTCTTGCAATAACAAATGACAGGAAATCTGAGCATAGTTTCCATGAAAAACTTAATATTGCTAATTACTGATTTTCCATGAGTTTAAAAAATTTACATAATATAATAAGCGATAAAGTCACCTGATATGGCTGTGACAAATATGAGTCCTTTTATGCTATGGGCCATGATTCTAAGCCTTCTCATCTGTGATGTATTTGGTAACTAAAACATTGAACATATTTCTTATAAAAAAACAATTCAAAGAAAAGACATGCTATGAATCTCAATAATGTATCCCTTTTCAGTCAGTTTTTTTTACATAAATTCATAATAAAACAATTTCTTAAATTTTCTTACATGTAGACTTTTCGCTTATATATATACATATTGATTACATGTAATGAAATCCATACTTTTTACTAAATCTATCTATTATATTAAATGAACTGCTAATTCATTTTGAATAGAGTTCACTTTTTTAATCCCACTCAAGGTTACATTGTTGTAGCAATTGCTTCAAGTATTTTTTATAAAGATTGAAGGTACACTATAATTTGTAGTATTAGCCCCTTCACGGTAACTGCGGTACTACTCTTTTGCAGGGCAAAATAATAACGTTTGGCGAAGTTTTTTTCTGAGAGATAATTAAATGACGTATATCAAACAATTACTTTTACGTCATATTCCACCAAACAATATCATTTTGCCCTGCAAAAGAGCACTGCCGCAGTTACCATGAAACGGTCTATTAAGGCTAAGCTGGACAAAATATGATCTGCATGGACTGATCAATAAAAAAACATATATACATATATTGATGTTATTGTAATCATGACCTTTCAGTGACATTTTTCGAGTTCTGTGATGCACAAAATTGTAAAAACAAAACAGTGCAAGGAATAAAGGTACAGAGGATTTTCACCAATGCTTACATTGTTAATGGGTATAAACTGAGTCAATCCCTGCCACAGAAACAATGCATAAAGGATAAAGGCTGATCCTAAATGTGAGGCCAGTCGATACTGACTGACCCTGGGGATATCAGACGGCTTTGCCTGTTCTTGTAGTCCACTCTTAACCATATACCATCCAAGAAAACCCTGCAAGAGGTAGAGAGGATTAAAACTTTGGACTACTAAACTGTCAAGTATGTAACCTCCTCTTCTGAAATATGTGATTCTGACTCTTTGACATCCAGAGACTTCAAAAATTTGTAATGAATTAACTTAAATAAAATCTTTAATCTCACTTTAGCTTCTCGATTTTCTTTTCAAAAAATTATTTACAGTCATGAAAAAAAAATTATTCTCATATATTTTAAAAGCCATAGGCTAGGGAAAAATACTATGTAAGTCTATTGTTGTACTAATGTCCCCTCCCCTTTACAATGAGCATTTTACAAACATCAATTCTGTTTCTTACCTGGAACCCTAATAAAACTGTATTTAACACTAGGCGGCGCTTGAGAGTGGTGGACACCCAGCCCTTGCTGAGAAAGTAAGCAGCTGGTACTAAAAATACCAGCCCCACCATTCGTCCCCACATCCTATGTGCATACTCCATGTAATAAATAAACTTAAAATCTGATAGGGTGAAATCTCTTTCCTTAATGATGCTGAAAACATAAATTTATTAATCTTGACAATTTCTAACTGACATTATGCATTTCTTTACATGCATTTTGCATCAAAATTCAAAAGGTATGACTGTTCAAACTAATGTGAAACAAATAACAAGTGTGTTTCTACAAAATTTCATTTTGACAAAATTCCACAACAGAATAAGAGACTAAAAGAATTCAGTATCTGAAAAATTCCATTTTTTGAATCTTTTAATTAAATCCTCTTTTTTAGGACGTGGGAGAGGGGTTCTGATACTTGGTTATTTCAAAAGTCCATCATTTATTTTAACAACTTACTACATACTTACTACTGATATTCAGGGTATTGTTTGTATCTCTCAAATTCTTCCTCCCATTCCTGCTGGCTTCTAGGTGGCTTCATATCTTTAATTAACTGCCAATCCACCATTGACAATCCAGACTCTGTCAATCTAAATAATAATCATCCTATTTAGCACCTCTGCTCCTATAAGCACACCTGGGACCTTTTTCAATTCACTACATAGGCATCTGAAGCAAATTGAAGGGGGGGGGGCTAATTGAAAGTGAGGGGAGGGCTAAATCAACAAAAAAAAAATGTTTGGGGACTAATCTCCAATTTTCAATGCCTATATTATGTCCATCTTTGCAAAAAAAGGGGGGGGCTTAACCCCCCCCCCCCCAGGTTCTGACACCTATGCACTAAAAACAAGGACCTCCTTCCTTAATATGTTTTACAATATAATTTAACTTAACAGGATTTTACCACTATCAATTGTCAATACTTAAAGCATTATGAGCTGAAACTTTGATATCCGAAATTTTTGTTGCAAAATTGTAAATAACTATTTCAACGACATAAAAAAAGAACGTTTATAAACTTATGTGTTCATATTTGCAATGGAAGAACTATTTATATGCTTTGATTGAAGCTAAATTATATCATTGTCGTCCTGTCCAATATTGATTTCTAATATAATGCTACATATTTGATTGTACAGAATCCTTTATTCTGAAAGAATTTGATACTTTATTTCTGTCTAATTGATCAAAAATGTTTAAATTACATACAAATTTATCATCATAGCACATTTTAACAGCAAAATAAAATTCTCAAAAATACAGCTCATATTGCTTTAATAAATGACTTCTTGGAATGACTTATGTCATTTCTAAATACATGACTATTGTTTACATATCGTTAATGCCTTCTTAATATGATACTGTACTTTGCTGTCACATCTTTATATTTACCAGTAGAAGGTAAAAGCACATATACCACTTTTAAAATGCATTTTTGATGGGGATGTGTTTATAAGAGTATGTTTCTAAGTGTTTTAATACTGTTCATATCTTGTTGCTTATAGCAGCCAGACCTAAATAAGCACCCCTTTTTCTCATTTTCAAGTGCCCAGGGTGCTTGATAGGATGAATACAGCATATACACATCCTCCATGACCTCATTTCATAAACATATTACATGTATCAGGGATTTATATAATTATGATATACATGTATTATTAATTTTACATTTGATTAACAACAGTACTATTATAATAGTGTATATTTTCAATATTTTTCTATCTATGGACTTTGTTCTAAGGATCCTGTTAGCTTCACCTTGTGACACCACCAAGTATCACAGCACCAAAACACATTCCAGCACATCCAAACAACCATGCACCAATAATTTTTTGCTGACGACTAAATGGTACTATTGCAGCATCTGTTGTGGTCCCTCTAAAGGGTTGAAATGTCTTTAAAGACAATCCCTAAAATTGGGAAAATAATATACAATCAACTGATGAAAATAAGATTCTTTGATCTTCTTTCATAGATCGCTACTCTTTAGTAGTAATCTACATGAGCGGAAGTAATCAAATTGAATATACAAATGACATGTGTACAAAAGAGGGTTATATTTGCAAGTAGATAGAGTAATCTGTGTATCAAGACAAGTTTGAATACATCCCATATAGTTGCAATGTAGCAAATTGGAGTGGATCGGCTCCAAAACAATTTCGAAGAAAACAAAAGGAGTTGCACTGAAAATAACTACCAAATTAATCATAACAAATCTTTTCTGAGGTTGTATTTGCCTTTTATCCTAAAAAATAATCAATATAAAGATGAAAATTCAACTAATTTTTTCAATGTTTTTATTCTCGCTTTGAATTTACCCGCCATGCTGACATTCGGAATTCTCTATATTATCCACAGTATCTGCTCCTCTTTATTTTGCTACAATGCCAATACACGAAACTAACTCTTTCATTAAACTGGGTCCATAAGACAATAATATTTTAACGATAGAATGTTCTATCTAATCTGCTAGGTATACATTAGATAGAATGTTCTATCGTTAAAATGATATATGTCCTATGGACCCTGTTTAACAGTAGAATGTGTTCCGTGTATTGGCAATATAGCAAAGCAAACATTAACAATAACTCTAACTCAATGCATATACTACGAAAAATCCAGAGAGGTCTGAATGTCGACATGGCATATAAATTTGAAGTGAGTAAAAAAGTTGAGAAACAGTGTTGAATTCTTTCCTTATATGGATTAAATTTTTGGGTGAAAGGTATCCACAATCTCAAAAAGGTTTGTAATGATTAATTTGATGGTTATTTTGAATGCAACTTCATTTATTTTCTCTAAAATAGTTTTGGAGCAATTCTGCAATTTTCTGCTACATTACAGATACATGGGAGGTATTCTAACTGTCTTGAGGGCCTGTCTTTAAACATAGTTAGGTTATTCCAACTACATATACATAGTTTTATACATGTATTGAATCTATTGATAGTGAGTGCAGCAAGCGACACAAGGCTCCACTAATGATGCGAGCTCAATAGACTAACATGTAAGGATAGAGAAATTTTTAACTAAAATCTATATCTTTGTCAAGCAAATTTTTCTGTGCAACCCTCCCAGAATTACTTTGCTACCAGGATTTCATGTGATAATGGTGAATAAACAGTCCCAGAGTTATTATGTATGATGATTTAGTTCTTGCAGAGATTAAACGAAACAAAAAATAATTGCATCTATTATGCCTTTTGTTACAAAATTGCAAAAGGCCTATAGACTCAGTTTTGGAAATGCAACTTACATACGACGTCATGTGACGTCACAGTATACACTTATTTCATGACTACGAGGGGAACAGTCAAACTGTTGTCCCGAGGTAATGGGGAAGACCTGGGAAACTGTTGCCCGAGGCCGAAGGCTGAGGGCAACAGTTTCCCAGGTCTTCCCCATTATCGAGGGACAACAGTTTGACTGTTTCCCGAGTTGTCATGAAATAAGTGTTTTATTACCTAACCTACTATATAATTTCTTAAAGTAATGATATCGACATAATAATCAATGGCCTTTAAAATACATCGACAAATGTTTGTACATGTATTATTTTTTAAAAACAAACTATTAATCAAATTCTCACACCGATTGGTGTTCAGAAAAATTAATGGATGTGATATTATCATGCACTAATAAATTGAAAAAAAAAACATGTAGTAAACAACATAATGATGTCTTGAAGATTTGAATATTACACGTGTATGGCAAAGAACTATACTGAGTGAAAGGGGCCTACATTTTCCCCAAATTACCCTCAGAAAAGGTGTTCATGGCCTCTTCTTCGAAATGATATTAAATTGATTATATATCAGGATTACTTTTCAGATGATAATTTCAAATTGAATGAAAATGCTTTAATTAATACATAATTCAATATTAAAGCTGTAAAGTACGGGGTATTAATTATGACGTCATAATGGAACAGTTCAGCCATGCAACAGTTCATTCTGTGACCAGGTAAACAGTTTTGACTGTTTCATGATTTGCAAAAACATTAAAAAGAATCAGGAAACAGTTCAAAATGCCTAATTACAATTTATATAGTAGGTTAGGTAATAATCTAGACTGTTTCGTGCAGTTTGAAGAGGTGGATCAAAGTTTAAAGTTTAAGCCATGTAAAGGTTTTTTTTATGGTATACAACTGTGCTCCAACGGTTGCACCGTAAAACATATTATATAAACATGACATAGAAATGAAACAGGGGAAAAAACAATTAGATTTAATTTTTAGTGTGTTTTGTAAAGAACTAGATTTTCTTCTACTTTACCTTATTTTTCTTCAAAAATTTTGATATCTCTTTGTTCCAGGTTGAAAAATGGCATCTTGCGGAAGCCAGATTCTGTAAATAAAAATATTACAATAGTCGTATTTAGAAAGCATTTAACAGTATATCTCACTTTAAAAGGGGAAAAAATTAATACAGTTTTGTTCACTCGTTAAATTGCGTCATCTGATTGTGAACTCACTTTCATCTGTCTGCTACTCAAAAATGATTTGGAATAATTTGACAGGCATAGTTTCCGAACAGAAAATAAAGAAGCCATCTTTCAACTCAGTGTGTAGATATGATAAATGACCCTTTTCATAACATGTTGCATAAAAGTAAAATCTCCTCAGTGTTAAAGTAAAGCATAAAACTTATCATAAATACTCCCCATCTAAAGCCCTTTTGAGATCCCGATATATAAATATAAAAGTTAAAGTAAGGAAAGTAAACAATAATTCTCCGGTTTCCTTGAGTGAGAGAAAGAGAAAATAAAATAAACATATGAAGTAAAATGCTTATAGATTGATAAGATAGATAGATTGCTCTATATATCGGCAAAATTCCTACGGCCATGCTATGCATAACAAGAATAGATATGGGTTACCCCATATCCAAGATATTCGACTTTTAATTTATTCGAATTTTCATTGTGCTCAGATGATTTCTAATTAAAAAAAAAAACCCACTGATTTACTGATAAAACGTCAGAGATACTCAAGCTGTAGAAAGTCAACTATACAATGGCCATAAATAACCTAAAATGACATAATATTTAGGCTACTGAGTTTCAACATCTTTTGTTGAATAAAATATGCATGTACTAAGGAAACTGCATGTACATACATGTATATAACGTTACATGCGATTAGTGACTTTTATTATCACAACGTTGCAGATGCCTACAGAAATAGTTTTAATTTCACATAGAACATAGACTAAATATAATTAACCGTATAATTTTAAAAATGTATTTAACAGCTCACTCATTTTCAGGAATATTTAACCCAAATAGCATGTTACAGGTTCAAAGTGAGGGGGGGGGGGGGCTCCGAAAAAATCCCGCGTACTATGGGCCTGTGCTACATGTGTACCATCTAACCTTCCAATGATAGAATCTTCTGTAAAAATTCGAAACAAGTCCAAGCAAAGATCAAAGATAGCCCAATTTTTTAAATAGCAAAACTATAGATCTATCAAGGATAGATTTTAATTTATTTTTTAATTTTGTGCTATTAAAGTGCTATCACTCAAAGTATAGGCAGATGTTAAAGATGGGTCAACAAGAGTAATCAATGAACTTGTCTAGAGATGCATTGACGGCCGTTGTTAAACGCAAAGGAAAGCGCGAGATCGGTTGCGGTTGTGGAGCATCACTCCTTCGTCATAGAATAAAATCCGACATTTAACACTTTATATAGATTTTGAATATAGAGACGTTTTGAAGATAAACTTCATTTTTGTTTCTAGAAATGTTTTTATTTACAAAAATAGTATTTTTTCGTGTTTTTAAACTGAGTAGATCAATAACCTAGCATCGTTTTAGGTAACTCAGCCCCTCTAGCCCAGTCTAGGCAGGTCTAGGGCTTGAGTAAAAATCCTGCACTTGTTATGAAACTGGTGTGTAGTTCTTCTTCATGTCCGTAGCAAATACTGATACCCAGTCTACATGATCTAAGCGTCACTAGCGAACGGTGCACATACCTGTGCTTGCAAGACCAAATAGACTATAGGTTTACACACGTGCGAAGATCCTTTCAGACGAGCTCGGCAAATCACGTTGCTTTGCCGAGAAGTTACGATTGCAGGTGTTTAACCACATAATAACCATTCCGTTATTTAAAAAAGAGAAAAAAACACACACACAGTTAATGATTAATATTCTCACTCAAAAGAAAATATACGGCAATTAACGAACAATAATCATGACAGTTATATAATTGGTGAAAAGATTTATCACTATCAATCGAAGGATGACCTATATATTTTCGTGAAAAAGACTGAGGAGGCAGCGAGCGTAGGGATATGAAAACTTTTTAATATATTTCCTTTTCTGGGGAAAAGTGATTTTCTTAAAATCTTTTTACTTTAATTTTGTTTTCTTTAACGTATTAAATATACATCATTATTCTTAACATTTGTTGTAATGTTGTATCTACTGATCATGAATGGAACTATTTTCTTGGGAGCAATTGTGTGAAGAGTACCTGACTTTAGTAATATATCTTGAATAGATAATATGCACTGATCGAATATATTAAAAATACAGGAAAACTTTTTAACTTATGTAATAAAATTCAACATATCAGGGCATTATCCTGTTATTTACTTCGCGAAGCAAATAAGTTTGACGTCGTTCACGTTAACGTCAAATTCATCCTCGAATATGTTTACGACAATACTTCCACTTTTTGACTTCAGTTCCACACATTTCGACTCCTTTCATTTTCGGTCCATATACAACATATTTATTTATTTCGTACAAAAACCCATAAAGTATACAAGGCGAAGCAAATAACAGGAGTAAATAGCGCCGCAAGATCTTTAAATGTACTCAAAACCCTGGAACTAATTTGCTTCGCGAAGTAAATAACAGGAGTATATATATACAGAGGCGAAGCAAATAACAGGAGTATATATACATCGAGACAGATCATTCTAAATAGCACTTCAAGGGGAAGATTTCCCCGGGAAAAGGGTTTCTTTGGGGGAGAAATATATAAAAATGGGGCTTGGTATTTTTTGGGGGGATCAAGATAAAAGATGATAAATGTAGAAATAGGCACGTTTTTATATAAAGCGAAGCAAATAACAGGAGTAGCTAGCGCCGCAAGATCTTTAAATGTACTCAAAACCCTGGAACTAATTTGCTTCGCGAAGTAAATAACAGGAGTATATATATACAGAGGCGAAGCAAATAACAGGAGTATATATATACCGAGACAGATCATTCTAAATAGCACTTCAAGGGGAAGATTTCCCCGGGAAAAGGGTTTCTTTGGGGGAGAAGTATATAAAAATGGGGCTTGGTATTTTTTGGGGGATCAAGATAAAAGATGACAAATGTAGAAATAGACACGTTTTTATACAAAGCGAAGCAAATAACAGGAGTAAATAGCGACACAAGTCCTTTAAACATAATCATAACTATTGTTTGTTTTTTTTTTGTTTTTTTTTTGAAAATGAAAGTCAAGAAACAATGAGAAAATTACCAAAAGAATACAAAAATATTTAATCTGACATGTACACAACTGGTTGTTTTTTTGACATACATTCCATGTATTATCCTTTCTTAAAAATCTTACGGAATAAAGCAATGGAGTTTTATGGATGCAACTTTATTCCGTATTTGTATATATACACGCACATCAGTGTGTATAGTCCTTTCTTAAAAAAAAAATACGGAATAAATTAAGCGGTGGTGTTTTATGAATGCAGCTTTATTCCGTATTTGTATACATACATGCATGTATTATCCTTTGTTGAGAAATTTACGGAATGAAGCAGTAGTTTTCTGAATGCAGGATTAAAGATAAAAACTACTGATAATGTGAAAAGTATTATTGAAGAAAGCGAAGCAAATAACAGGAGTAAAAACCGACGCGCGTAAAAAAAAACAGTGTCAAAAGTTGGTGTACTAGTACTGTGTGTTTTACATATACCATTTCATTTATTCCGTTTATACATACTGTACATTGTTTTAATTCGCGTTATCAATATATACATATACTAGTAAATTACATCCCATTTAATTTATTCCATTTATACATACTGTATACGTTCTTTTAATTCGCACATTCAGTACATTTATTATCCCATTTCCTTTCAGAAATTATACGGAATGAGAGGCGGTTTTACTTTATTCCGTTTCTGCATATGCTTTCTACCTGTCTACGGTATAAAGGAAAGTTATGCGGAATGTTTATAAATAAAAACACACAATCTCATAAGGCCAAAAAATTGACCTTGATCTGCGCCTTTACAATTATTCATTCAATTTAAAGTAAACATAGTAACCATTATTACCTGTTCGTTCGTTAGAAGTATTCAATGTAGTCACGGTTTAACAACTTTCATGGATTGGGTTGAAATGATGCATTTGGCCCGGGAGAATGTGAAAAATAAAAGTAACGTAAAAAATTAAAACTAGGATTTAATATTTCAATCATGCACAGACATGGTATTTTGTCAATAAAATAATGTAATAGTCGATCATGGGTAAGTAATGATATCGATGTAATAAATCTGTGACATTCCTTATAAAAATAATATAGCATCGTCGTAAACAAGTACACAGATGAATTTGACGTTAACGTAAACGACGTCAAACTTATTTGCTTCGCGAAGTAAATAACAGGATAATGCCCATATCAGATTGATAAAGTATATTTCTAATTTGTTATTCCTATCATTTGAAATTGGTAATAGAATGACTATTTTCCTGTTTTTAGTCTTTAAATACCACCCCCACCCCCCTCCCTCGGTAATAAAAAAAAACGTAAGTTTTACCAAATTAAAGACTTATATCTCTTTGTATCCCCAAATAAGTAATGCTCTTTGAAAATTCACATAAATATCTGCATAAATATGAAAAATAATTAAAACATATATATGGCAGTTGGCAGTAAGCAGTGAGCAGTTGACAGAAAGCAGTTGGCTGTCGTATATGGAATTTCCATAGTATAGGTAAGGTTATTTTTTTTAACCGTTGCTGAAACAAAATCACAACTGAGAAAGTTTTTAAACATTGTATATTTCATCAAAACTTTCTCAAATTGTGCATTTTCTGCACAAATTTGTTTTAATTCTCATTTAAAAAGATGGATGCATCTTTCCCTTACACAAATTAAATTAAGTGATTACAACTTCCTCAAAATTTTATTTTGTCCTATTCTTGAAGTCTGGGTACCACCTATGTGTGATTTCAAGGTGTAATTGATCTTCACTCCAATTGATCTTGTTATAAAATACATGTATGTACTCCTAAATTGAATTCAAATAGAACTATATTTGATTTAGTATAAAACATGATACATGTATATATAGAGACTATAAATAGACTACGAGGGGTGATCAAAAAGTTCGCGAACTATCTCTATATTTTCAAAACCACAATTCAGACCAGGGACCTTATTCACAAAGCATCCGTTAGATAACGGGTCCGTTAACTTTACGGAGACCCTAACGGGTGTGACCGTAAAAAATTAACGTGATATTCACAAACATCTCCGTTAACGTTCACTTTACGGGTGCGGTATTAACGGGTCCGTAAAGACAAATTCAGTGTATCTGCAATTTTCATTGGTCAAAAAATCGATTGTTTTGTCACTGTTGTTTTTCTA